TGAATTAAAAGAAATCTGTTGAAACTCAGTTGTTCTGTGTTTCTACCCCAAGACAACATTTCACCTTGAATTGCACCAATCGATTATTAGTTTATTTTGAATCTGGCTGAGGATTATTATCTTTGCATCATATTCTTACTTTTGTGAAATCTTAAATCCTGCTTTCCCTGCATTCTGTTTCATAATCAGCAAGTGGTAACTCTGGTTCTACTATTTGTTTTTTTTTTTTTTCAATCACTTCGCCCCAAGCAAGACAATAAAGCCACTAAGATCAAGGGGTTACTGAATGTGAGAGAATATGAGAAAAAAGTTAAAAAAACAGCACTATTAAGAGAGAACAATTAAGGAACAAGAGTTAAGAAAATCAAAGATAATGATTGACATTGCATTTAAATTTTTGAAGATCAAAATTGACTGGAAAGCAAGAAGCTGGAAGAGAGCTCCACAAGCAAGAAGTGTGAGAAAAGAAAATGTTAGCATAGAACTTATGGTTACATCTAGCCATTACAACTGTAAAATGATGAGACCTTGCCATCAATCTATGCTTAAATTCATTAAGTCTAGGTACCATAGAGGAAAGTTCATCAGAATAATTACCATGAAAATATTTATAGAAAAGGCACAGGGAAGCTACATTATGGTGGTGGGAAAGTGACTGAAGCTGAGATGCCAGGACAAATAACATTGCATTTTAGTGCATGAGGGATGAAATAAACCAATTCATTAATATTTAATAAGTCGAGATCTTCTCTAACCTACCCAATTGCCTCTGGGGTGGTATGACAAGATTTATGGGCTTCTAGAATGTTTATTTAAAATACTATCAAACATAAAACATGTTTACAGTTTACTAAATCCAATATAGGGGCTTTTGGGTTGAAACATTCTACAAGAGGCATCTGGTGTTCAAACAATGAAAGGTCATCGAAAAACATGCAATAAATCAATATCAAAGGTTTGTGAAATTCTTATACAAGTCACCTAATACTGAGATAGAGGGAACAAACACTCTGAGAGAGACCAAGTGACAAGATATGGTTTTAATCCCACTTCCTCCACTCTACCTGAGGTCACTCCAATTATTACAGATTACTGCTAGAATCTTTTGCATGAACAAACCAAACCAGGCTACCTAGATTAATAATTCTTTACTCTTTATGTACTTGTAAATTCTTCAATTTGTTATCATAAAACCTATTGTTAAATGTCAACAGAGTTTGTTGGTTTGTGCCTTGAAATTAATTTTCAGTAAAGAAGTTACCACAGCTGTGGGGATTTCACACCTAAGATCTCTGCAGAATCACAACAACTACCTGGTAAAATCTCTAGAGACTTTGATTACCTTCCAGCTTGCTTATCTCAATGTGATGACCATAAAGATAAAAAAAATCACTGCCAATTGATGACACCAAGAATACTACATTTTTGGTGGTGCTGGGACAGGGAATAACAGATCAATGAAGCAAAACAAAAACAACTAACAACAGCAGCTATTGTCTGGTAATGGGGTATTATACTTACATGCCATGATAGTTGACACAAAAAGAGAACTGTCATGTTCGCAATTCTCTCTTTCTATTGGCACTCTATAACCCCAAAATACCTCTTACATAAAATTTTGAGATGAGATGAGCACCATCAAATAAAAAGTCAAGCATGGCATGCCAATTAACTTTTAGTAATGACACCAAACAATCAAAATATTCATATTGATTATTAGATTTAAAGGAATCTCTCTTTCACATTCACTCCCTCTCTTATCATTTTGGCCTTGTTGCTAAGTAAAACAGGAATATCTAAGACCAGCCCAAATCAATATTTTTACAGGATTTAGCAGATTTACTCTTCACAATGATTTTAATTAACTTGGCCATTATATTTTCAGTATGGATTTTTTATTGTTAATGTTTGTTTTACAGGTAAAATTTTTTTTTTATTGCTAATGTTTGTCTTGCAGGTACCCCCCCCCCAAAAAAAACAGACTTTTTTGTGCCATATCCATTCAAAATATCAGTGATCATGGCTCTCCCCAATTTCAATTCCTTTGTAGCTCTGAGCAATTTTTGCCTTTTTACTATCTTTCCCCTCCTTGTTCTGGCATCTCTTTACACAGGCTAGGTAGGTTGCTCACTGTTTCTCTCTGTCCCTCTTGCTTTCAATTATGTACTGTCAGTGTCAAATTCTCCAAGCCACCTTTTCTCATTATTTGTCCTAGAAATTTATACTCTCTCTCTTTCTTATTCTAAGTATAAATGTCCTTTCAGTTTCCACATGTTGTGTCCATGATATTCTCAGTGTCCTTATTTAGAACCATATCTCTGTTATTTTAAATCTACTCTTCATCAGTGAGGAAACTGTTCAGCATTTGCTGCTATATAGGATGATTGATATTACTTAGCAGTTCAGCACACATTTCTTTGTTTCTAATGAAATTTTCCTGTCTCTCTTAATACTGTGTTTAGTTTTTGGAATGTGTCTTTTCTTATTACACTGTGCCTTCAGATTTTAGTGTTAAATTTTCCATCCTCTGTTAAAACACTTCCCAGATATTTAAATTTCTGTACATGTTTAGTTTTTGACAACTCCAGTTTCTAGCTCACATCTTGGGCTGTTCTTCTTGTTGAAAATATATTCTTCTTTCAATTGATGGTTAGTCCTTTCTTCCTGCTTTCCTTTACTAGAAGTTTTTGCAGTTTTTCTTCTGTCTTCCTTCATCACTGTGAATACGCATATTTTACATTTTTAAGATTGTGTCCACCAATAATAAACCTTCGTAGGACTTCTAGTTCCCTTTAGATCACCTCACTGTAATGGTTAAATAAATCTAGTGAGAAGATATATCTTTGTTTTATAACCTTTGTTATTTTTGTATACTTGCTCATTTTCTGTATGCCAGCAGCTTGATTGATCCTAGTAAATGTTTTGGATTATTCAAATCATTCCTAAATAAACTTTTCCAGTTCAAATAGATAATTGTGTCATATCTTATTAAATGCTTTTGCATAGTCTATTGAAACATAGGTATATACCCTATTGCATTTGTATTGCTCATTCTGATACCATGAATATTGGATTTCTTCTTCCAGTCTCTTTAATGAAACCATTATGTTCTGTTCTTGTCTTATTTCCAGTCTAATTCTGCTACATGCTCTATTCAAAATCTGGAAGATAAGCTTAGTTATATGGTTCATTGTGCTGATTGTCTGATGTAACTAACATTCATTTGCTCCTGGCTTCTTCAGCATTGCTATGAAGATATTTACTGGGGTCTTTCTGGCATGTCGCTACTGTCATATATTTGCTTTATTTCCATAAACTTATTGATTCCAAAATAATTTAGAACTGATAGCATTTCAGTTACAAACCCATCTAGTCCTAATGCTTTATTCTTGTTCCTCTTGACCACTGATGATCTTATCTCAGACTTTAATATTTCAGGTCATTCCATATTTTTGTGTATTGCAGGTTTCCCTCTTATGTTGTAAAGTGTCAGAGTGATGGGTATAAAGTGTTTGCCAGTCAAGAGCTGCCTTTCTATTGCTTTCTAGTGGCTTACTTATATTGGCATCATTTACCTGCTGCAAGAGCCTTGCACGTGGATGGGTTAGTCCAATATTATTGGGGGCTACCAGTGTTGTGTCAAAGAATGACTCTCTATATAATATGTCTGACGTACTACTCTATGCATGTAAGAGCACTCTGATGTAGTTATTCTATCATTGAAGTATTTTTCTTTCTCTATTATCAGTGTTCCTTCTTTTGTTTTTATGGATCCTGTCGAGGAGTACTTCTTTTGTCCTGTTATTTCTTTTAGTCTTTTATGTATAGCTGCCATATCTATGATGCTCATTCTTATATTGGCAGACTTTTTGTTGAGCCATTCATCTTTTACCTTCTTGCATTTGTTTTTAATGTTGGTGTTTAATGTTCTATACTCTGCACCATCCCTTGACATTGCTTCCAGTTTCTTTTTCATCTTGAGAATTTCATCTGTCATCCACTTCTTTTTTTTTTTTTGTCTCTCTTCATTTGGGATGATCTTGTTCACCAATGCCACTAGACCTTCTCTTAATGAGTTCCACTTTGAATTTCCAGTCCCATCGATGTTATTACATTTGCTTTTAACTCTGTCAGCATACATCTCTTTGCAAGTTGAGTCATCCTAGAGTTTGTCATATTGTTGCTGCTTTGGTGTTCTTTAAATTCTGTAATTTTAGTCCAGGTTTACTTATAACTAGAAGGTGATTGCTTCTATAATTGGTAGTTGGATAGATTTTACTGTATAAAACTGCATTTCTGAATCTTAGATTGACTGTACATATCCACAGGTGTCTTGGTTGCTCTTGAAATCAGGTGTTGATTATTATTTCATTATTTGGACCCATAAACCTCACTTTTTTTTAGTTTTATCTTTTTAAATATTTTGCTTATTTGAATTCAGATTTATTTTTCTTGTAATTCACGAAATTTGTATTTGCATGTCATATATAAAGTCATATTAAAGAACATATCAAGGTGATAACAATCTCAACAGATAAATATTTTAACAATAATCCATTATCTGTTTTATGTAATTCAGTCTAAATGCTATTAAAATATATTAGATAATTGTTATATATCAACCTTTCCAATAAATTTTATCTAAAAACCATAAGAATTTTAAATTGAAAAATTTGCTTTTGGCTTTGTTTTTAAAGGAAGATACTGAACTGTTAGATTTGGCTTATCTCCGAGATATACGATCTGGAAAATATTCAAAACCTCCAAAGGTAAGCATTCATGTCATTTTTCATTTTTCAAATCCAGTTCAACAGATCTGTTATAAATGATGATGGAAATTACAAATTATAATTGTCATGTATAATATTTTTATTAAAAAAATAAATTGTTATTCCTGCCCAAATTGATCTTATTAAATAATTCTGAAATTTAAATAAAGTTTTGTATCTATGTTTATATTTCTAAATTTCACACAATAAATTATAATGTCATGTATATTTGTTTATATTACAAAATCTTTCAAGATAATTTATATATATATATATATATATATATATATATATATATATATATATATACGTTTGTATTACAAAATATCCTAACAAAGATTATAACATCGTGTATAATATGTTTATATTACAAAATCTCCCAAAATAAACTGTTGTATATGTAAGTTTATATTAGAAAATTTCTCAAGATAAATAATAAGTTTTTTGTATTACAAATTGATTACAAAAACTTACAGAATAAATTCTTCTAAGTGCAAAAATCACTGCCTCTGCAAATGCCTTTCTTCTAATGAGATTCATATACCAAGAATTGTCTGTCTCCTGATAGCCTGAAATAGTTGCAAAATTTTCCACCTGTATTAATGGTTTATGTTTTAATTTTTAAAAGGAGTTATGTCCACACCACATGAAAGATTCATGCAACATAATCTTCACTCTTTGACTTTCTACCAAATGGAGCGACAACAGAATTTAACAATTTTTACTTGCCTATTAACTTTTCTTACAAAATGTACATTTTTACATAAAAGTTGTAAACAAATAGATACAAAGTGGTCCTTGAAGATGAAACTTAAGAAAATAATATGTTTATAATTATAAGAACAAATTCACTTTTCTAGTTTATGTTTTATGAGAATGCAAGAATCTTAGAAAAGAAAATTTATTTTTTTAAATCAATCAACATGTTTCATATTTTCATGTAATGTTTTTGTTTTTTTTCTGTTTTTAGGATAAGAAAGTAAAAGAAGCAGGCACTAATTTTGGTTCATCAAATATACCCCTTCAAGACAAATGTGTTACAATTTGTCATGGCTATGACTATATAGAATTGGAATGGATACACCTTATTGCTGAAAATTCTTCTGTGGCTAAAGTAAGTCTTTGATAAAGTAACAATATCTCCTGTCATGATAATGTTTTAGCTGGTGAACCTTCTTCAGTGTTCCTTATATTTCTTTTTATTTTCTCTACAGTACACTTGCTCTTTGAACAAAGTAAAAGATTTGTCTCATAGAGGAAATTTTTATTTTATAAAGAATTTCCAGTACCAGACAAAACTATACTATTTAACTCTCAAAGAAGTCAAATACTTATGGATAAAAATGCTTGCCAAATACAACATACACTGAGGAAAGCTTGAAAACCCACTGCCAAAATGTTTTTACTAATATTCTGCTTGTTTGTATGCTTAATTGTTACACCTCTTTACCTAGGATCAAGGTTTAGTATCTGCTTGCTTTCTAACCCTCCTGATATGGAATCAATTATGAGAAAATCACATTTTTACATTAAGTAAGAAGGAATTAGAAAAAGCAACTGGGAGAAGGTGGAGTCAAAGAGGGTATGAAGGAGAAAAGAGTAGAAGGTAAAGAAGCTGAAGAAAAATGAAAAGAAAACCATGTGAAAAGAAAAAAGTAAATATATACAGTGAAACAAAATTATTGATACAGTACAATCGATTTCATTTTTCAAATATTGAAATATACAACCTGTCTGAAATTATTATGCAAATGACAAATTTTAATAACTCAAAGCTGCTTTGAAAATTCTTGTCAAAATTTTAAACAATCAATTTAAGCATAATAGAATAAATAACACATGAATTTGGAGAATTTACATGTTAATGTAGTTGCATTCAGTTGTATTCAGATTGAGACTTGATATCAGCCATTCTGTTATTGTGTTTCCTGTAAACCTTTTATACTCAAAAAACAGATAACCTTAGAAATACAAGGAGGAGCATTGTTGTTAATAAATGACACTTTGCTATAAACTGTGAGGCTAAGACTTGTACCATTCAAAATATGTCTTGTCCATGAAATTGCAATAGTTAGCACTGTTCAGTTTCATGCCTTCATTAACATTGAATGGTTCAGTAGTTATTTGGGTGACAATTCTAGCCTGTATCATCATCCCCCCTACCTTTTAGTCATAGGTGCCACTACATCAAATAAAATTCATCCTTTGGCCAATCCATTGATTTGTCCACAAAACCTCACCCAAAATTTGTCTTTGAAAATTAGTTTAGAAAAGTCAATTTTCATAACCAATTTTTGGCACTTTAAAGTATTTCATTTGCTGAGAACAGGTTGCCTAGATTTCTTGACAGATTTCAATTTCCAAAGCATTCTATACTTTTTGTCTCTCTTTTATTTCTCTCAATTCCAACTTGATCAAAGACTCAAGCACTGCCTAAAAGTGGTTGTTTCACCAGAAATTAAAGCAAACATTAGAACAGCTCATGATCAGACATAATAGACATTCATTGTCTGTTATATTTAATAATATATATTTAAATGTGTGTGTGTATGTATTCTAGAATTTCTGTTTATATTTATCAGGTTTCAGAGGACTTAGACTAATACTATTTTAATCTGCATAATAACTTCAAACAGTTCATTTTTGTATATTCCAAATATCTCAATGACCATTAAAAGTAGCTAAAAATTTAGTTACAAATTTTACCAAGATTGGAAAAGTACTAGTTTAAATTTGACAAAGCTTGGTTCAGGCCTTTTTGAGCTATTGAAGTTTATATGATTTGCATAACAAATCCAGACAGACTGCATTGTGTTATATGTAAATGTCAGCATGGCAATATGATCTTCAGCATTGAATACTCATAATCCACTAACATTATGAACATAACAGGACCAAAAGAAGTAAGAACAAAATTATCTGCAAGCTTCAGCTAGTAGTCAAAAGTATAACTTTTTATGATTAATATCTTTAAGTAAATGTTAGTAACAAATCTATAACAAATTTATTTCAACATATTGTTCCATTCTTATAAGCAAACTGCACTAACTCTACTAAATTTGAAGCTTATCTAACTTTAAGTTCTTACCAGAAATTTTCTATTGGATTCCAGTCCAGATTTATTAAAGGTTAAGTTAAGACATTTTGTCTTGGGGATAATTTTTCACCAGTGCTTTTGTAAGTTGAGAATTACTATCATGTTGGGAAGTGAAATATCATCCTCCAAAACAATGTCAGGCAGAATCTTTCAGACTTTCAAATAGCACAATACTCTTCATTATATATGGTTTCAACAATTTAAACGAATTATCCATTCCAAACTAAAACATCTCATAGCATTGCTATTTACATAAAAAATGTTCAGATGCATGACATTCCTTAGTTCCACTAGTTCTGACCTTCACAGCTAAGACCCACCATGTTATACACATTGTAGCAAACTACCCTCATACTCTCCATATTCCCTTGGGTAGATGTAAGTTCCACTTTAGTGGCTTCTTTGAATCATTGCTCTGTGGAAATGACATCCAAGAGGATGCTTCCTGAGTCACTACAATCTTAACTTTAACTTCAAGTTTAGAGTTAATCATTATCTTTCCTACATATCCCCATAAACTGTGTCTCTTATTCTGTAACCCTCTACCTTGAGTGGTTCTTGGGCCTTGTACAGAGTGCACTTGTGAACTTAAAATCATTGTCATGTTGGAAAGTGAAATATCATCTTCTAAAAAGGTACCATGTAGAATCTTTCTAATTATTCTTTAAAATATCATTGTGCTCTTCTTTTTTTATGGTTCCAGTGATTTTAAGCAAGCATTTTATGCACAGACACATACACACACACACACACACACTTTTTTTTTTCCACTTTCCCACTGCTTCCTTATTTGGAACAATTCATGGAACTGAATGTTAAAGAGATAAAAAAAAAATAGGCAAACAAACAGATGGAAATAGACCAAATGTCTGAGTTCACATCAAGCCTCTCTCAGTAATGGTAGTGGGAGAGGATTGACGTAGACCTCAACATTTGATCTTTTCCATCTGTTTGCTTGCCCACTTTTGTTTCTCTTTTTTATTGCATTGAATTCTGGAGACTGCTGTTCTTCCATTTGCATTTTTACCTGTTCATGTTGACGGGTTATTTTTATTGCTCCCTTCAGTGCGTAGTTAGGCTGGAGTTTTTCCAACAAATTCCCATTACTGAGACCAACCACAAGTTTGTCCCATATTGATGATTCCTTCTCTGTAAAGTTGGCACATGCCACTAGGTCATACAATACATGAATATAAGTTCCTATTAGGTTGTTGGTTTTGTTGGTGAAACATGACCCTTCTATCTATAATGTTGAATTTTGGATTAAAATGATGATTGAAGCTCTGAATAACATTCTTAAGGGATTTTTCTGATTGGTCAGGATCCATATATTTGCTTGGCCTAATGCCCCATATAGTTTTTGAGTGTATTGATTTGAATATCCACAGGTATCCTTATCCAATTTAGAAGCAGTTCTATAGCATAAAAATTCTATAAAACAGTCTATAGCAGTTTTATAGTGTAAAAATCATTACCTCCACACAGTTCAAGCTTTGAGAATGTAAAATCAGCTGTTTAAATTCTATTCCTTCAGTTTGATTAACGTTGGTTATCCAACCTCTGTTACTATGTACTGAACAGACTCAATAAGGAAACTTCTGCCAAAACTGTAGTTTATTGGCAAACCGAGAAATTACAATAGAGCTTCTTTTTTTTTTTCTTTAAAAATGTTTTAATCCTGCTTATAGTGCTTAGCCATCTACTATAAATAATAGGGGTTCAGGTATTGCATAGGATGAATTCTTTCCACATCTTTATACCAAAATATATACTGGATGACTGACAAAACACAAGAACAAAATATACATTCAAGGAAAGCTGAAGAAGACTTCAACCAAAACATTGTTGTAAAAACAAAATATGAGCATACTAATCTGTTATAAATAATGAATCAAATAAATCTATTTGATACTAATTTTTGTTTAGCTTGGCTGTGAATTCAGTTCTTTTTTGTTCTATAATTTATTTACAGAGATGGTCAGAAGAAGTGTTCAGTTATGCCTACAACTTGTTGTCCCTCAACAAAAACCAATTGGGAGAATGGGAAAAACTCTATTTCCGAATGACCACGGTTGAAATAGAAAGAAATAAAATTCCTGTAAAAGCGTAAGTAAAAATAATACAGTGGCTAGCTAATTTTTTTTTTTTTTTTATCTCAGACTTATTTAATAATTAAATTATATAATTATAATTAGGAGGTGCAATAAACTAATGGTTAACAGTCTGGAAAATAGCAAACTGATTTCAAATTCCAGTTGTGACAGTTTATGTTCATTTTAGACTAATGCCATTCAGAAACCCACAAGTTATGGATAAAACACCAGGTCAGACTGGGGCTGTTGAGACTTGGTTGGTAACCACTCTAGGAGAAAAATTCTGAATTCAAAACCACAAAGAAAGTAACAGAAAGTCACTCAAGCTATTTTTCCCAATAACAACCATGGCAATGCATAGCTTACAGATATTTTAATAGATATTAAAAGGAAACTGTGGTAAGCCATGATTGCCTATGTCCTGGGACGTGGTAGTGAAAGAAGAATTATGATTTGTTTCTTAATATATTGAATTTATCATTTTGACTTATGTTACTAAATTTTAATGTAACTTGTGATATCAAGGATAGGATTTATTAAACACATCAAAACTTCTATTTTCTTTAATACTTAAATATGAAGGAGCATCAATAAGTCCAAAGCTTGACACATTTTCAACCATTATTATTATTATCATCAATCTTGATTTGTGTTTACTTCCATGTAGAATTTTATTGATTTGCTTTTTATCATAATTTTATTTGGGCTGTCCATCTACTGTAGCAAGTCAACAGTGTGGAATATTTTTTTACTAATTGTTCATCAAATATAAGGCCAAAGAGTCACTCAAGGTAGAGGTTTTGCTGATTTTTTTTTAAAATCATTTCACCCTAAGCAATGCAATAGAGCCACTAAAAAGCAAAGGATTACTGGGTGTGAAAAATATAAGAAAAAGGAAACATTATTAAGGAGAGAGAACAATAAAAGAACAGGTATTAAGAAGATGGCAGATAGGAATTGACATTGCATTTAAATTTTTGAGAATTAAACATGACTGGAAAGCAAGAAGCCAAAAGAGAGAAAAAAACTATTAGCATAGAACTTACGATTACATCTAGCCATTTCAAGTGTAAAATAAGACCTAGCTACCAATCTAGTACTGCACTTAAATTCATAAAGTCTAGGTACCAAAGAAGAAAGCTCATCAGAATAATTACCATGAAAATATTGATAGAAAAGACACAGAGAAGCTACATTACAGCAGTGGGAAAGTGACTTAAGCCAAGATGCCAGGTCAGGACCAATAACACTGTAAATTTGTTTTTGTATTTTATCAAGAATCTCTAAATACAAAGCAAAAGCACCAGATCAGATGTGACTGCAATATTCTAAGCCTGGAAGAATGGTAAACTTGTAAATGTGTAAGATAGATTCTGTCAAGAAAAATTGTCTAGCACAACACAGTGAACCAACTTTCCTAGCTACACACCTAGCAATTGATTTAATATAATCTTTCCACTTCAAATTAGCAGAAAACTTTAGCCTGAGAAAGCACAATGAGTCACTCTCCTGGAAGGTAGCGTCAGCCATGCTGATGGAAGGTAGCGTCAGCCATGCTGATGGAAGACAAAAAAGATTCTCTGATTAAAAGAGCATTTTCATTTTGGAGTGGTTAAAATTAATTAGTCATTTCTTGCCTCAGTTAAGAGATTATATGTCATTTTTAAGATTAACTGCCAAATTGATCTTATCAAACTGAGCAGACATACCTTTAAAAAAGGAGTAAATAGTTGTATCATTAGTATAGATACCAAGTTGAGAACTGATGACATCAGGAATATCGTTGATGAAAATTAAGAACAACATAGATCCAAGGATAGAGCCATGGGGGACACAGGCATTAATACAAAAAGATCTAAAAGAGTGGCTGTTTAAGACAACTTTAATTTCATGATTGAGTCGGATCAAAAATTCATCCATAAATACCATAACCTTTCAAGTTGTTAAGAAGGCCAGAATGCCAAACACTGTTAAATGCCTTCAAGGTATCCAGAGCAACCACCTAAGCTTCACCATTCTTATCTAAATCTCAAGATACTCTTTCAGCAATAACTGCATCAGCAGTTGGCATAGAGAAGCAAAAACCATATTGCTTATCTGAAAGAAGACCCTGCAATATGAAATGCTGAACAAATTCAGAGTTGATTAGGGCCTCTAGTACTTTGCCAAAAAGAGGTAGAAGGCTAATAAGACAATAGTTAGAAGAATCAGACAGCTTGCCAGAGTTCTAGAACTACAGAAGAGGATTTCCTACAAACAGGAAAGCATGAAGTAGTAAGACATTTATTGTAGAGTATAAAGAGAAAAGGAGCCAGTTCAGGAACACATTTCTTAAATATTATTGCAGGAGTATAATCAAGTTCACATACTTTGTGGAGATCCAGTTTAGAGATCATAGCAGAAACCATGGACAGAGTTATATGCATATTACACGATAGACTCAATTCTAAGTGGAAAGTCAGGTAAATAGACTTCAGATGAGTCGAAAGTAGAATTGGAAGAGAATTTATGAGAAAAACATTCTGCTTTATCAGCAGGAGATGAAGAATGAAGTGAGGAGGAATAGATTTACTCTTACTTGATACAATATTACAGAGCCAACAGTAGTTATGAGAACCAAACTTATTAGATACTATATAGTAACTCATTTTGTCATCAAAGACTTAACCTCTCTGAAGACATGTTTACAATTATTATGGGCAGACACAAAGAAGCATCTGTTATGATGGGGCTACAGAAACTGAACTGATCTAAAGAATGCCGCACTTACTAAAAGAGAAAATAACTTGCTTAGACAGAAAGTTCTTGAGAGTGCCACTGTTCAATCATATCAAAATCTGCATCCCAGATTTTTTCAGATATTTCCTTTCCTAAAAGCCAATATACATAACTATGACTTTTTTAAATTCAAAGAAAACCATTAAATCAAAGCCTTACATTATTTTAAACAGATAAATTCATAATTTATCAAATTAAAATAAAATAATAAATAATAATTGCATTAATAAAAAATCAACATTTATTCAATTTCACTTATTAAGCATTAAATTACATCACATAGCATCCTCCATCATTTACCTTGACTTTCACAATTATTCCTGAAGAATATTTATGAGTGTTCTTAAATTAAAAAAAATTGTAAACCTAAGAATATTTTTTTTCTTCTGTTTATATATACATGTTGCAAAATAAACATTACTTACATTTACCTGGATAAAGTCCTTCAGTGGTTGCATCGCATAGGTAAAGAAAACTTTTCCTTTTGTCATTATACATACTGTATTTTTATAGATATATCTTGTTTATTTTTGAATTTTTACAAACACATGCGTGTGTATTATGAGTAAATAATATGCCTCTGATTCATTATTTTCATTTTGGAAGTTTTCAATAATTTTGCAATTATTTTCTTTTTTTAGTATCCAAAAATGTCTTTCCAAAGACAAAGATGACAGAACAAGAATTTCCAAAGCACTTGAAAAAATTGGTTGGCCTTCTGGAAAGGTATTTCTGCATATTTTTTATGCTTATATGATTTTTAGTTGTAATGAAATTTACTTTAATTTAAGAATAAACTTCATTATAATAAAGATGATGATTAAACATAAACAAAAACTGTTCAGTAAAAAACCATTAGTCTTAAATACTAAAGATTCCAGTTTGTATGATGAATAAAGAAGTTTTATATCAAGTGTATTGATAAGGAAGATGATTTTGAAAATTAAATATTTCTTATTTAACATGAATACTTTTTTCATCATTATACTACAGACTTACCTAAGTAAATTATTATATTATTATTTTTAATAACATTAAATAGACTTGTAATTTCATATCAGTTAAACAAAACTGCAAGGAAAAAAAGTAACAAACAAAAAAAAAATATCTATACATATATAATGGGCAGTTGTCTGTGTGTGTGTGTGTGTGTGTGTCTAGTTAAAATTTAAAAAACTACAATAGTTATGACAAAATAAATATGTATACAGACTCATTATCACCCAAGCCAGTGTTTTGTAACAAAACTATCATTATATGATTTGTATTTATGAAGATATTTTAAAATTAAAATGCATTCCAATTTAAAAATGAAAAAATAAACTAATAATTCTTATTCCAGATTAGGATTACTGTTTGTTTTTAATTTTTTATTCTGCTAAATGCTATACATGTATCTATTTTTCAAATTTCTATTCTCTTGAATTTATTTTTACATCTATAGTAAATAAAAGCATAACTTTAAAAAAAATGAATATTAAAACAACAAAGTAAATTTAAAAGAAGAATAACATTAAATACAATTATTTTACAAAAAGTTTAATATTTATTTATTCAAATATTTGTGTGTGTCCCACTACAAAATAAATATACAGACTTAGTATCACCCTAAAGGTCAGTTGTCTGTCTTGTGTGTGTGTGTGTGTGTGTATTATTGACTTAATATTTTTTGGCCATCTTACGGAAAATAATTTTTTTATTCAATCTTTATAAAAATAAACTTCATTGTCTTTTGGTTTGTAACTAACATAAAAAAGTAAATAATTTTCAATTAAACAAAAAACTATAGCAAGCCTTATTTTTTTTTAAATTAATTTAAATAAAGTATAGTTAAATTCATAAAACATGACGAATGTCGACCGTAAGTAATGTCTGTCTCTGCTAATTATTCTTTAACTAAAGTTTTTTCTTTTCATATACAAATATAACTTGAAATTTGAACATAATCACTTTTCAAAACTAAATTCTCAATGTATCTTGCTTCTACTCTTTCAAAATAATAATTGATGTTTAAAAGTAAAATTTTATTTACTTAAAAAATCTAAATTCCTCTCCAAAATAAATAGTAAATAATTATTTTTCAACAAAGTAATGCTTGCTATAGTTTTTGTTTGGAAAAATGATTAAATATGTTTAAATATATCTCAATTTAAGTTTATTAACTTTTTTATTTATAATAATTTGAAAAGAGGTGAATGAACTTTTATGTAAGTTTGATTTGTTTGAAAACAACATTAACAAAGTATTTATGTTAGTATTTAAATCAAAAAATAAAGTGTCTTTTTGAATAAAAAATATGGGGATGCTCAGCCCCCACCTCCCCGAGCATGATATTGGTAGTGTGGTATTTTGCTAAATTTAGTTATTTTGTAAAAAACCAAAAAAACAATGAAGTTTATTTTTTAAAGATTGAATAAAAAAATTATTTTCCATAAGATGGCTGAAAAATATCAATAAATTGTCAATAATAAACTATTATTCAGAAATCTTCCGAGCAATGTCAGGTATCCCTGCTAGTTTATAATAATGATCAAAGTGAGGTATAATCACAAAAATAGATCTGTAGAACAAAATTTGGCAATCTTTAACAAAAAAAAAATGGTGTCAAAAGGATCGTTTTTCCTTTGTCATCATCATTATTTTAACTACCTTCACTCCTCAGCATTGTTGTTTTAAAAAGCAATGATTAGAATTTTAATAAACCTAAACATATGAAAGTGAATTTATACATTTTCTTTGTTTTTAAGAATTGACAAAAAAAGAATTAATAAACACTATTGTTTATTTGCCCTATTTATTTATTTATTAATATTGTTTACTGGAATGGTTGGCAAAACATTGGCTAATTACCAATTGATTCAAACTTTATAAAATGGTAAAAAAATAAGGATTTTCTTCTAGTTGACTCACTATTTTAATAATTTAGTAAATGTGTATAAATTTATGAATAAAAAATAGTTTTCATATTTATTTCTTTATGAAGTGGTAAATAATAAATATGAAAACAATTTTATTAGTTTTTAGTTTTTAGAATGTAAATAGAAAATTATTCTTGTAAATAAACAATTTAATAGTGTTTAATATTTTTATTGCAAATTCTCAAGAACAAAAAATGTACAAATTAACTTAAGACATCATATATTTTGATTTTATAATCATTACTTTTTAAAACAAACATTACCAAGGAGTGAAGGTAATTAAAATAATAGCAGTGTCAAGGGAAAAACTGTCTTTTTGACACTTTTTTTTTTTGCCGGCACACAGATTAAAGATTTCCCAAAATTTATTTTACGTATTCTTATCTTTAGACAAGCAATTTTTGATAGCTGAAATACTAGAAGGCATGAATTGGTAGTTTCAAAAGCAGAAAAATAAGAATACAAACTAAAAATGAAATTTTCTCTGGAAAAGTAATTATAGTGATTTTGATTGTGATCAAAGTACAAAAGATGGGTAGAGGGTGGATGTGGTGGATTCTACTGGGGAACAATTGATGAGATTGAATGATTAGAAAAATGTGCAACAGATGAGTAGAAAGCAGTAGATTCTGAATGTTTCTTGGATTATAATAATGGGGTTAGATGATCTAAACCAAGTTTGTTATGCATAGAGGAGAGTTAAATTGTGATTGTTCTGGGGAAACTAATGATGGGTTAGATGATCAGGTGAAAGTGTGTCAGGTGGGGAGAAGGCAGTTGTTTCATTTTCTCATTGGGAAATAATGGGTTAGATGATCAGATGAAAAAGTGTCAGGTGAGGAGAAGGCAGTTACTTCATTTTCTCATTGGGAAATAATGGGTTAGATGATCAGGTGAAAAAGTGTCAGGTGAGGAGAAGGCAGTTTCTTCAGTTTATAATTTGGAAAATAATGATTGGGTTATATGATCAGATGAAAATGTGTCAGATAAGAAGGGAGCAGTTGGTTTATTTTCTTAATGAGAAAATAATGATTAGGTTAGATGATTTGACAAAATGTGTCAAATATGGTGCAGGTTGTTGATTCCGATTTTTCTTGGGTAAAATAATTCAGGGGACATATATTATCAGATTAATATGTGCTTGATAAATATCATTGAATAATATAAATATGATATTTAAAATGAACCAAATTTAATATGGAACTAATAAATCCTAAATTTAATAAAATGTAAATTCAATTACAAAATTTGTGCTAAAATAAAAATTTTTGTTCATTGTGGGCTCTGCTCCTCGTTAGTCTAAAAGCAATGGCAACAATATTTTGCATTTTTTTTAGTAAAATGACAGGTGAAAGGAAATGAAAGACAATTTCAATAAAGCAATATTTTATATTTTTGTTTTTATATAACTGAATAAAAAGAGGAAAAATACACAAGTATGACTGCAAAAGAAAATATATTTGTAGGGGAGTTATAACTCTGAGTAAATAATTATACAACCTCTAACATTTATATATACAAAAATACTTGTAAAAATAAGAAAAATCAAGACATGGAAACAAAAAAATGAGTATTATTTATTATCTGGTTGTTATGTAGTGTTAGAGACACAAGAGAAAGTAATACTGAGTAAAATTATGAGTTTGGGGTCAAATGTAGATCAAATAGGGATCAGAATGTGAAGACAAAGAATAAGTAAATTGTATACAGTTTTTCTTGTATGTTTTTTTTATAAATCTATGTAAGTGGCATGGTGGAGTAATGGATAGCGACTCAGATTGAGGAATCGGAGAGCCGAGTTCGAATTCCAGTTGAATCCATTACATTCACATATGTGCTAATACCCTTGGGAAAGGTATGAATCCTCTTCTTCTCCCTCCAGCTATGGGTAAATGGCAGGACAGACCAGATTCTATAGCCTTGGATGACAATTGGTCTACCGCAGAAAGAAATGGCAACCTACTGTGTGAAAAAAATCTGCCTTGTCAGTCATGTATCAAAAGATACATGATCACCTAAGCATGTATCATGCATGGCACATAACTTATGTAATGAGTGTCCAGATAATTTAGTCAGAAAATACAAGAAGTGTCTAGGGTTTTCTTACCTCAAATTTTTCTTGAGTGCTAAGAAATAAAGGTTGCTATTATGGCCTGAAAAAGGCAAAAGAGATTAAATCTTTTGTTGATGGGCTGTCCAATAGTAAGAATGTCCCATGTTTGTATGTGTAGAGGAGAAAAGTGGAGCTGATTTTCCTTGGTTTAGAATAAGCAAATTAATATAATTGTTATAATTATTTTATTATAATTATCTTTGACACTATAATTAATTTTTATTTATTTATTTTTTATGGAAACAACATATTAAAAGTTAGGAATTGTATCAGTCAGTAAGGGAGAAGATGCTAGGGTACAAGGTCCTGGTAGCATTGCCCCTAAAGCATACTGGGAATAAAAAGAGAGATAAAAAAAGAGAAAGACAGGAAGTGTCTTGTTTTTATAACTGCTTGACAGTGTCTAACAATTTCTTAGCAAAACAATATTATTATAATTTTATAGTGTATTTTTTTATTATTTCATTTATAATTATAATCTTATCTATTCTCTATATATTTTTTAGAATGATTCAATTGACCTGAAGGCTTTTGATTTTGATACCTTTTTCAAGTTTTACCTGGCTCTTCTTGATAGATCTGAAATTGAGGGCATCTTTAAAGAGTTGTAAGTAGATGTACATTTTTTATATAAAGTTACTTATATTGGTCACATTCATTGATATCTTCATGCTTAAACTTGTTTTTACTAACTCTAATTTGTACATGTAAAATAGTTTATATTTATATTCTTTGAAAAATCTGACAATTGTTTTCAGTTGGTATAAAATATTGTTCTGTAACAATATATTTTCTATTAAGTAATTCTTATATTTGTCCAAATTATTTTTATCTGTGCAAAGAGCAATAGTGAATGCTTTTAAATCAATGTACACCATCAAATATACCTGAAATTCCAAGTGAGCCATATTGCTCCTGTTGTGATTTGTTCTTTTTAGTGTCTTATAAATCTTACTTTTTAAAATAGGATCAGAATGACATACATACATAATCATGTTTTTTGTTGAGGCAGGACTAGGATTAATCTCACACAAAGTAAGGTGGGTCCTGCCTGACAAAGGTTTTATCATAATGATTTGAGGAAAGTTTCTACAAGAACAGATGCTCTTTCTGACACCCAACTCTGATGTTCATGGTAGTAAAAGTACACTGAATGGCTTTATTGAGACACCATCCCATCTCAAGGAAGATTGCCATTCAAGATTTGAGATCCAATCCTAAAATTTTATATATATATATATATATATATATATATAGTAAAATAATATATTTTTGAATTTGTAGGTCTGATGAATTGGATCGTGATTACGATTCCAATGTAATAAATTATAACCATGGAATATTAGTGTTTGAGCCTTTTTTATTATATTATTACTCTGTCCTGGACAGTGAGTTCTACCTGGATTCTATCCTCTTGGGTATTTATATATATATATATATATATATATATATAAAACACTAATATTATATATATATATATATATATATATATATTTCAATTAAAAAGTGCAAATTATAATTTAAAAATTCATGAATCATTCATACAAAAAACAAATATAGAGGTTAATGATTTAAATGGCGAGAATACATCTTCGCAAACAATATAAATAAGATACATCAACCCCAAACCTGTATATGAATGATATGATCCCTGTTCATAAATTCCAGTTGCATAAGGTCTTTTAATTTTTACAAGCTTTCGTCTGTTACTACAGACATCCTCAGGTATGGAAATAGATTTTGTTCTTGTTTTTACTTCTTGGTAATAAGAGGACAACGAAAATAGAGATGTAATCCGAAAAAATGCTATGAGAAATGTGTTATTGTTTTGGAACGTGCGGTCGCAACGCTGAGTTCGAATTTAAAGTTTAAGGTTGTGCGTTTTTGTACAAAATCAATTCTTTTTACTGGTAGATTTTCCGTCTATAATGGCATGAACTATATTGTTCAATAATTACAGTAATGTCATATTTATTATCTGAAATTATTATTGATGTATCTTATTTATTACATTGTTTTAAAGATGTATTCTCGCCATTAAATCATTAACCTCTATATTTGTTTTTTGTATGAATGATTCATGAATATATATATATATATATATATATATATATATATATATATAATATTTATATATATATATATATATATATATATATATATATATATATATATATATATATATATATATATATATATATATATATATATATATATATATATATATTTATATATTATATTATAAACTATTAGAAAGCGATATCAGAGATAGAGCTAACATATTTGATTGGATTGATGTGAGTTTGTGACCCTGGGTTTCACGCTTTTTTCGATCGTCAGACAAACTGATTAATTTTTTTTAAATTTTGGGTTTATGTAGATTGCGTGTATTGGTGTTATTATGGAAGTTGGGGGGAATGTCGTCGTGATGTCATTGTGCTAACGCAAACATTGATGTATGTTCATACATATATGAAGTATGCATTTTTGACATACACACTTGGTCGTCCGTTGGGGACTCATACATATATAAACATATGTGGACAGTTTCGGATTTGACATATGTATGTATATGGGTGGTGTTGTGTCTATACATACGCATTTGTATGTTGAAATTCAAAGATTGGAAGTGTAGTGAAAATTTCTCGTGAATGTCTCATGAATTGTATACATGTCATTTTTTATTTTTCCACTGAAATAATATTTCCTCGCATTGTATGTATATACGTGTGGTGGGGTTTTTTGTAAAATTATGATAGGTAAAAATTATTATTATTTTTATTTTTTTTATTTTTAAAAAAAGGGGGTTTATTTGTTATATTTAAAGCTGGTTATTTGTTTGTTTTTGATGACTGTGTATATGTAACTGGTAGAAATTTCGGTTTGTAATCCTTATTAGTTATTTTATATGGTGATATTTAATATTTAATATGCTGGGCGAGAGGGTAGTTTATGTTAATAATTATAGCGGGTCTATATGATAATAGTAGATGTGATGTGATAGTAATGTTGTAAGGTATTGGAGACAATGATAATATAAGTAGCTAATAGTTATTGTAAATTGGTAGAAGTGATTAGTAATGGTGGTGGGAGAATGATAAAACCATAAATGTGGTGGTAGCTTGAACTAAAAAGTGGTTGTTGGTGTTTTATTTTATTATATGTATTAATTTGTTTTGGTATAAATCCTGATAATAGGTATTTTGTATAAAATTATGATAGTTGAAAATTGCTATAATTTTTATTTTTAATTTTTAATTTACAGAAAAACACTTTTGTTATTATTTTAAAGCTGGTTATTTCCTTGTTTTTTTTAGTTTTTTGATGACTGTGTATATGTGACTGGTAGAAATTTCAGTTTGTAATCCTTATTGGTTATTTTTATGTTGGTATTAAATATGCTGGGGGAGTGGGGTAGTTTACGTTAATAATTATGGTGGGTTTATATGGTAATGGTAGATGTGGTGTGATAGTAATGTGTAAGAGGGTTGGTGACAATGATAATATAAGTGGTTAATAGTTATTGTAAATTGTTAGTAGTGATTAGTAATGTTGGTGGGAGAATAATAAAAACCAATAAATGTAATTATTGTGGTGCTAGCTTGAACTAAAGAGTGGTTGTTGGTATTTTATTTTATTTTCTATATTTATTTGTTTATTTTGGTATGAATCCTGGTAATAGGTATTTATTCTCATGGTTACATATGGAAATTATTATTATTACTTTTTTTTTTTTAAGGTATTAAATATGCTGGGGGAGTAATATACGTTAATGATTATAGTGGATTTATATGTTAATAGTAGATGTGATGTGTTAGTGATAATGATAATACTTAATAGTTATTGTAAAGTGGTAGACGTGATTACTAATGGAAGTGCAATGATAATAACGATAAATGCAATTATTGTGATGGTATCTTGAAATTAAATTGTGATTGTTGGTGGTTTGTCTTTTTTATCCGTTTGGTATGAATTCAGATAATAGGTACTTGTTCTCATGCCTACATTTGGAGATTATCTCTGATTTCTTGTTTAGTAAATTCTTTTGCGGTGTGTGTGATATTATTGCTACTTTTTCATGTAGGCATTTTTTTTTGTAATGTTGCTGTAGGCAGGAGCTTTTTTCAATATTTCCCAACTTATTGTTGGTGTGATATTTCTGCCTTTTTGCTGCCATATGTATGTAGAAAGTGTAGTGCTGTTTGAGTATTTCCTGTTGATGAATGAAAGGTTGTGATTGTTATTCCTCATCTTGAATGGACCTTCAGTGGCACCGATGTAGTACATTATGCTGTTGTTTGCACTTACCTTGGCCTTGTATATTGTGTTCGTAAGTTGGCAATTTCCCTGGAGTGGACATCATGTTCTATTTCTGCAGTTGCATATTGGATCCTTGGTTTCATTTTTGTAGGTTGTCATTTTTTTGTGGCTTTTGATTATTTCTGTTATGTTTTTTGTGCAGCTGTAACTGATCTTTACGTTATTTTTGTTGAATATTTTTGATAATTGGTTTGTTTCAGTGAAGTGCTTTTAGGAATATCTTGCCTATGTTCGTTTTAATGGTTTTGTTGTATGGTGGATTAAACCAGATAATATTTCTTTTTCTGATTTTGCGTTTTGGCTGTGGAGGTATATATTGTAGTTGTTGTGTGTAACGACTTGCTTTTAGTGCTTCGTTGTATGAATTTTTTTTGCTATTAAAAAAGTGTATGTTAGATGAGTTCTCAGATAGTCTGCGGTGAAATTCACGAGAAATTTTCGCTATTTACACTTCCAATTTTTGAATTTCACATACAAATGCGTATGTATAGACACAACACCACCCATATACATACATATGTCAAATCTGAAACTGTCCACATATGTTTATATATGTATGAGTCCCGACGGACGACCAAGTGTGTATGTGTGTCTTCATTATTTTTATTGCGTATGAACATACATCAATGTTTAAAGAGCAAATGACATCACGACGACATTCCCCCCCATCCATAATAACAAAAATACACGCAATCTACATAAACCCAAAATTTAAAAAAATTAATCAGTTTGTCTGACGATCGCAAAAAGCGTGAAACCCAGGGTCACAAACTCACATCAATCCAAGCATATATATATATATATATATATATATATATATATATATATATATTTTTTTGATGTAATAGGGAAAGAACAGTTAGATTGATGATCCAATGTCCTTTAGTATTTTTGTTTTTATTTTTAAAAAATAGCGCTTGATGCAAAAGTACAGCTTAAAATTATAATTATTTTTTTTTTTTAAATGTGATTCCATCATGACACTGAAATTACTATGTTTCAAAACTGAAACTCAAGTGCCAAAGTTTAACTTCAATATTAAACCTAAACTCCAGAGGACAGTTTCATTCTCAAGCGATGCATGGAATAACTGACAAAATTTTTTTTACTCATTTATAGGTTGGAAATGGAGGTGTAATCTTGGGTTTCTTTTTCATTATCAAGGGGTCTCTGCTTTGATGAAAGTAGGAATGTTTATTATATGTCAAGTTTTTGGCCTCGTGGAAGGTTAGGTTGGGAGAAATTTGATATTGAAATTAAACTTTGGCACTTGAATTTCAGTTTTGAAACAGTAATTTCTGTGTCATGATGGAATCATATTTTAAAAAGAAATTATTATATATATATATATATATATATATATATTGGTTGTTGGCTTCTATAAAAATCACATCTGTTCTTTGTGTATTAAAATCACCAACTAATAATAATTCAAAATAAATATTTAATATGTGCAAAGATTAAAAATATTACAAATTCATTATTTTGCTTTTTGTGATAGTAAATGATGTGTGTCTTTTTTGGTAACCCTACAGTCCAAAAATGTTTGTCACTGCACTTGATGTGACACTACACACTGTATGTCTTTCTGTGGTAACACCTAAAGAAATATCAACCTCAATGTTAAAATGTTGAAAACCTGAATCAGCAACATGTATCACAGAACTAAAATTGATAAATTCCCAAGATAGAGCCCACGGCAATATCATGTTGAAACACTGGTTCTTTTACAATCTCCAAGCAAGCCTGGCCAGTATCTAGATGGGTGACCACTTAAGAATACCAGGTGCTGTAAGCTTGGATGTGGGGGTGGTGCATTGGATAATGGCTCAGAATTGTAAATCAGAGAGCTGAGTTCCTATTCCCGTCTGGTTTAAATTCACTTGCATATAAATACCCTTGGAAAAGGTATGAGTCCACTTCCTTTCCCTCCAGCTATGGGTTAATTTGTAGGACTTGTATCAGTAAATCATCATTATCTTCAATAAATTCTTACATTCTAAAAATATTTTCTGGCTTTAAATAACCTGGAAATGGTTGATAAGTCACAGAAATAAACAAATCAATCCTATAAGATCACTAGTAATATGTCTTTATGTAAGCAAACCACATGGCACATTGGTTAGCTTATGTTGAACTTCTTTAAAAAGCATTTTTCTCCAAAATTATTCTGCTTAAGAAAACACACCAATCCAGTAGATAAATTTATTATGAGATTTTTAAAGATAATTTTATTTCAACTGACTTGATGAATATAATAGGTTGATACAGGACTCAATTGTACTAAGTTACTAAGACATCTAAAAGTTAATATTGAGGGTCATCTCTTTAATCTATCTAATTTCTCTAAACTAGTGGTTCCCAACCTTTTTTGGGCCCCACCTAAGTATGTCTAAATTCCTGATGCACCCCCTTGCCCCGTGGTATATAATTCTTATTATTCAAAAAGTGAACTCCTATTCATGTGAAGGAAGCTTAAAAGGCTCTTAACTTGGTCTAAACAAGCTTGTAAAGAACATGGCATCCATAAAAGGGAAAAATAAAAGAACGAAAGGACAGTTGAAGTACTGAGGAATAAATTGGTAAAAATATATATCTATCTATATATATATATATATATATATATATATATATATATATATATATATAGTACATATGTAATTACACATGTGCATACATACATACAGATATTTTATGTATGCATACTGTATATGCACCGTATGTATTCATTCCTATAGACTCACTAGAAAAAAAATCACTTAATAACTAATTCTCAAATTTCCCCCCTCCTGTGGGTTGTGCATCCCATGTTGGGAACCACAACTCTAAACTAACTTTTCTTTTTTATTTCTTTTTCCATATTCCAGTAATTATTAAATGCAATCAAGCCTTTTTCATGTTTTTCCATGGTTTTATTCTAAAAAACTGTGCTTTTTTAAATGTCCATTGACTGTTGTCAAACCTCCTTGGGGCTTTACTCATACCACATGAATTGATCATCACCCAGTTTATTCCAATTTTACATTTAATATTCCATGTTATCAAGACCCAGTGTGCATCCTTTTCACATGAAACTCTGAAATAATTTTTCAAATTAGTAGTTAAATGATGCAACATGTATACAATCACTGCTTTGAAATAATCTTTCACTTTAAAAGTAGTGGGATGATTTGATTAAAATTCACTATTTTCTAATTATTCTGTGATATAATTCTTTGCAAACAGAAGAAAAGATAATTTGTTGCATATTTTACAGGTCTAAAAATAAAGGGAATATCACGACTGTTATGTTTCGAGATTTCTTAAATGATATGCAGAGACATCCAAGTTTACATAAGACTCTTTTCCCTCTCTACACGGATGCCCAGTGTGAAGCCCTAATCAATGATTATGAAAGTGCTGTCAACAAGAAGGGAAAAAGTAGGTAGCAGCATTGGTCTGAATTTGTTGCATTGATTAAAATTACTTTTTCTTTGAATGACTAAAACTGTATTTGAATTAGAAAATTTTAATTAAATAACTTTTATATGTATTTAAATATTTTATACTGTATTTAAATTATAATTTATTAAAAATTATAACTTTTATATAAATTGTATTTAAGCTATAAGTTTTATTTAAATTATAAATTTTATATAAATTGTATTTAATTCTAAATTTTTATCTTAATTATAGCTTTTATATAAACTATTTAAATTATAATTTTTTATTCTAGTTTTCATGAATTGGACTAATTTTGTGGATATATTTTCAGAATATTTCATGCAAAAATGGGCCAAAATCAAGTATTTATGAATAGAAAATAATAATATTGTACTTATTAAATTGTTATGTACTATATATAAATAATTCTTGTGTATTAGGTTGGAACAAAATAAGTTTGTTTTCTTTGGATTTTTTTTCACTTCAGCATTCCCATCTGCTGATGCATACATCTATATGTATTTTGGGTGGTGCTTACATCACTTGATTACTGGTTTTCTTTTCTTTTTATAGGGTATATAAGCAAATATGAATAAACACAATAACCATGTCATTATGCTCTAAAAGTAAAATCTAGGTCATTACATTGCGAATGTCACCCACAGTATCAATAGTGCATGGGGCTGGAGTCATGAACAGATCATGCATTGTTCCAAAAATTCAGCTGTTGTGATTGACAATGAAGAATTAAAGACAGAAATGGAAACTCATTTAAAAACCAATACTCATGCATTAGGAGAAAATCTGTGGAAGGTCCATACAACAAATCAAAGATATTTGGCATGAATAAGCAATGTAAAAAAAATGTAGAAATGATTTTTGACTGATGGATGATAAGCTTTAACACTTGCTTGTTCATTTAAAAAAGGACTTTTTTTTTTTATCCTTTTTCTTGTAGATGAGCAGTGTCATCTGCATGATAAGCAAAACAATGACTTTCTTTGGATTAACAAACTTGCTCTATTCTCATCACCAGTCCCATGACCGAGTGTGCTTGTAGGCTTGCTGAACACCTGATTATTTCTCTCCACATGTCTGGGTTGAAAGCTGGAGAGTTAGTCATTCATACATTTGGCAAGTAGGCTCAATGGAGCCCATCCCTCTCCAGATTAAGCCTAGACATGTGGGTAGGGTAATTTATAGTGACTTGGAATGAGAAATCACAGAACTGGATTTGAATTCCAGTTGTGTTTGTTACATTCACTTGTGTATAAATACCTTTGGGAAAGGTATAACTCTATCTATTCTCCCCCACGTATGGGTTAAATAGTAGGACTTGTATCTGGAAAAATTGTTATCTCCAGAAATTTGTTAATTCAATATTTGATCTCAAAATAAAAAATAAAAAATTGTAGTTCAAAAATGTTTCAACTTTAAATAACCTACAAAGGTTGATAAACCATAAAAACAAATCAATCAATCAATCAACTGGATGTTGACCTAGGCTAAATACTTTTAGCATTTTGTTGACAATTACGACCCCATTTTTTATTATGTTGGAAAAAAATTAATTTCTGGATTGTTGGCAATATTTTGCCAATTCTGTAGTGGTGAGGTGCTACTTTGTAATAGTTGCAGGTAAAACATTTTTAAATAAACTTAATTCAACATTTTTTAAGGAAATGAATTCAATATGCATTAGAACAACATAAATCACACAAAGAGAAAAATAAAATTGTGTTTATGTGTATACAAATAGCTTCAAAACAAAAAAGGAAAGAAAATATTTAACTGTAATGTGCGCATTTATGCACACCATGTGGTTGGATTGAAATTAAGTAGTTGGTTACGTGGAGAGTGTCTCCATTGAGAGGAAGAAGTCTCTTGTCAAAAGAGAGTGTTTATCATTTGCTTTTATAGTCCTGAATACAAGACTACTTAGTGGTACTAAGTCCATTGTCAGACAATGTGGAGTAATCCCTGCAATTCTAATGGTGTCTACTTTGACTAATATAGATGTGTTTGAGTTGAATTATTACATTTTAACTTTTGTGGACCAGAATGGTTATTTATTTTGTTCTAACTTAATATGTTTAAATAATTCTTTTATATTATAAATAATTCCTTTGTATTATTTATAAATCCTTCCACTTTTACAAATTTAACATTGACAGTTTTAAGTCAGTGAATTGTTTAATAACTGATTTTTTTAATTCATGTTCCTTTTTTCTTTTCTTTTTTTTTCCTTACATGTTTTTCTTCTGGATTCTTTCAGAAAAAGGTAAGTTTTTTTTTTTTAATAATCTTCTATGACATGGGCGATCATAGCTCTCCACAAGTTCCTATCGTTTGTAGCCCTTAGTAAAATTTGTTTTTCTACTATCTCTCCTAATCCCTATTCTGTCAACCATTTACACAAGCTTGTTTGTTAGGTAGGTTATACACTGCTTTCCTGTCCCTTTTAACTTCAATATGTCCTGTGAGTGTCATTTCTCCAGGTCCTCTTTCCTTATGTGTCCTAAAATGTCAACATTATCTTCTGATTCTAAATATAAGTGTCCTTTTTGTTTCCATTTTCCTCAAAACTTCCTTGTTACTCACATGTTCAGTCCATGGGATTCCCAGTATCTTTCTGTAGAACTATATTTCTGTTACTGCAAGTCTTTTGTTCATCTGTGAAGAGATTGTCCAGCATTCACTACCATAGAGCAAGACTGATATTTCATAACAGTTTCGGACTCTTTTCTTTTTTTCTAATGAAATTTTCCTGTTTCTTAGTGCTTTGCTTATTTTTTGGAAGGTGTATTTTGCTATTCTAATGCACCTTCGTATTTCAGTGTCACATTTTCTGACCTCTGTTCCCAGATATTTAAAGTTTTCTACTTGCTTGATTTCAACAACTCCAAAATTTGAGCATTTGCCATCCTACAATGGTATACAAGGTAGTTATTTTAACATAGGTACCTCCACTTTTTTCACTGAAAAACAGTATAGCATGATGAAAAAATCATCAAAATGTTATTATTAAGAGGAAGACCAAAGTATTTTTTTTTTTTTATTATTTTATTAAATTTTTTAATCCTTTCTAGCATGTCCAAAATTTTGGTTAAAATTTTTTTTTTTTTTCATCAGTGTTTGACATAATTACAATTACTGTTTTATTAAATTTTGAGAAATTAAATTTCCATCCAAAAATTTTTTTCTTAGTTAAAAGCAAGACTTTTGGAGAAATGTAAATCAATATTTTTTTTTTTTTTTTCAAACTACTATTCATTTCTTGAAAATCTTCTCCAAATTGTAAAATAAATAGTGCAATAAAACTACAACATTATTTAATTACAAAAACTGTTAAAATGCTTTATACATAAAATTTATTAAGGACAGTATTGTCCTTATTAAATCTTATGTATGTTATTCATCAAAAAAATTTTTTTAATGAATAATGGATTTTTACAAGAATTGTTTTCATTTTATTTTTTTTTAATTATAATAATTTATAATATATAAATCTTTTAAAATTTCTGCATTGTTTTCATCCAATTAGGTGATATTGTTATTAAGTGAAAACTATATTTCCTAATCAAAAATTGAAAAGCTTAATACAAATAATAATTTTAAATTATTTTTTTATGTATATAAAATATTACGTAACGTGCCTATTTTTGAAAGTATGGTTGACCATACACGACATTATCAGAAAATAAGCGCAATGACTATAGTAAATTTAATGTCAACATTCCTAAAATTAGATTACAGAGAATATTTCCAACATTTTTAAGATTACTGAGTACTTAAAAATTATATAAAAAAGGTGCTCATGTCATTTTCTTAAATTGTTTTACAAATAAATTCTCTGTAGAGCAACAGTCATTATCTCAAGACCTGTCAACGCTTCATCAATTACATAAAACATGGCAATGATGGTTAAAAAAACAGTTACTGATTTGTTTTAAAAATACATTCCCCTATTATTTTAAACTTAAATAAATAATATTTTTTTCAAATTAGATTAATTATACTTTAAATCAACTAATATTCCCCAAATAAAGTTTCAGAAAGTATATTTTACTTTTGGAAGATTTTTTTTTAATACAAAGAATTATTAGGTTGGTGCAAAAATAATGTCGTTTTTTGACATTCAACTTCAAAAGATCATAACTCCTTTCATAATAAACTTTATTAATTGAAATAAGAAAATATTAGAATCGACACATTTTTTGCCCAAAACAAGTTTATTTATCCCATTAGCATAGAAATCTGGAGTTCTGGAAGCGATGAAGTCATTGAAGGCCGATTCAGCATCATCTCAAAATTTAAAGCATTTTTTTTACGCAGGAAGTTGTCAAGATGCTTGAAAAAGTTTAATCGGTGGGCGAGAGGTCCAGTGAATATGGCGGATGAGGCAGAGTCTCATAGCCCAATTTGTTCAGCTTCTGCAGGGTCAGTTGAGCAACATGCGGGCGAGCATTGTCATGGAGGAGAATTGGTCCTTCATATTGACCAATCTCAGGCACATACGTTGGAGCTTCTGGTGCATTTTTATCAATTTGTCGGCAGTACTTCTCCGCCGTAATCGTTTTCGCCCGGATTCAAGAAGCTGTGATGGATGAAACCAAATAAACCACCAAACAGTCACCATAACCTTTTTTGGTGTAATTTCAGCTTCGAAGAAGTGATGGAGATTTTCCGGCATCCAACCACTGTGCCGAATAAACCAGTTGTCGTAGAGGATCCACTTCATCACACGTCACAATCCACTCGAAAATGGGTCGTTTTTATTGCGCAGAAGGAGCGTAGAAGACACCTCTAAACGACGATTTTTTTGATTATTGTTCAATTCAAAATTTAAAAAAATTTATCCAACTTTTTTTGACTTCCCTATTTGCTTTAAATGGCGAACGACTGTTGAGTGGTCGACCTCAAGTTCAACAGCAACTTCTCGTGGTTTTTTTTTTTTTTCTTTTCAATTAAGGCTTTCAAATGTTTGTTATCAACCGCAGTCAAAAAATACCACCATCTTCATCTTCGAGGATCTCATCACCATTGCAAAATTTCTTGAACCACCGTTGTGCCACACATTCATTAGTGGTTCCTGGGCCAAACGCATCATCGATATCACGAGCTGTCTCGGCAGCTTTTTGGCCTAGTTTGAACTGGAACAAGAAAATCGTGCGGATTTGAATTTTGTCCATGCTGTCGAAAAGCCTGCAAAAAAATGAATGAAGAGATTGAGAACGGTAATGATTCGATAGAGTGAAAAACACGCTTCAAAATGATATATAACATGGCTATATATATATATCAATGAATTAATTTAGAAATCATATATAAAAGTAACATATGTGAGAAAACATTATTTTTACACCAACCTAATACATTGTGATGAAAAACTACTAAAAATGGGGTGCTAATCAGTAAAGAAAAAAAAAAATGAATTCCTATCAATATTGAAATACATCAGAGTATTTTGCTTACTGGAAATAATAAATTTAATTCTTTAGTTTTCAATTAAAGCTAAAATGAAAACATTTTCATTTATAAAATTCATTATAAACCATAGATATTGAAAATTAGTGGAGGTACCTATTAGTGCAGAACATTATTACTGTAATGAGTTCATAAAAGGATTTTTTCAGAGAGAGACAGTGGGAAAAGAGAGAATGTCACCTCTCTCCCGAATATTGAATAAGGTACATACGAAAACAAACAAAACTCAAAGCTCTAATGTGAAATTTGAAAGGAACAAACATTTATTACATGAACATAAAATAATAGAGCAGAATACAAGTTTTACAAATAAGCTTGAACAAAATTTTCTTTTTTGTGCATCTTATTAAAGGCAAGATAACTAATTCAAAAAATAGAAATATGGTTCATAAAAAAATATGAATTCTTCAACAAACTTCCAATAATTGAAAAATCTTGAAGTTACAATACTTTTAAAAGGATTCAAAATACACATGCACATTACAAGTTGAAACTGAGAAGGCTTTGGCAGGTTCATCAGTTCACTGAGGCTTGAACTTTTTTTTTTTTTTTTATTTTAACACAGTTTGATTATTAATTTAACAATTTTTTTCACTTCACTGATTTCACTTAGGTTCTGCTTTTTTTTTTTTTCCTGTTTCTGTCTTTGCTTCTGCCTCCTTCCATAAAAAATTGTCTAGTTCATCCACTGGTAACAGCCAAAATTGCTTGTCCTGAAATATTTCTTTGTATCCTTCTGAATCCTTATGACTTTTTGTAATCTTTGTTATATTCTTATTTTTTGTAACCTTCTGAAATTTTCCACCACTTCTTATATAGTTTTGAAATAGGCTCCAGACAGTTCTCAAATTTTAAATTTGCATGGGAGGAAGTCATCTTTCTCATTGGTCAAAAAATCTAAAGGTGTATATGTTCTTGAAATTTGAAAATGAAATCACAAACCATCCCCCTTTGACTGACTTATTTTGAGCAGTTCTTTTTATGGTCATTTTATTTTATAGAAAATTTGAAGTATAAATGTTTTACATCAAATTAATTAATTTTTTTTATTAATAATCTAGCTTTCTTTTAATTTTTAAAAAACACTTCTCTTAAAAGCAAGTGTAATAAACAAACCTAGACAGTTATGTTTATTTATTTTTTATCTACACAATCATTTATTTTATTTATTTTTTTATGTAAATTTTTTCTTCTCTCCTCAAGAGAACAGTAAACAAACTTAGTGTATATTATTTTTAATTATTTTATATTAACCTTTTAATTATTTTACATTACATTCTTATAAAATATTTTATATTTAATCTTCATAGAGTGCTCCATAAATGTAAACTTTTGTCAGAGTAAGCTAGATTTAATAAATATCAATAAGGTAAAACTTGATATAAATTAATATAACTATTGTCAAAATTGTTTACATAAATATGATGATAATTGTTTAATCATTTGAAATTTGTTTCTATCTACAGGACAACTTACCAAAGAAGGCTTGCTCTACTTCCTTATGTGTGAAGAAAATAACCTTACCCCCATGCATCGACTGGATTTGGGTGCCAACATGAAACTAACTTTGGCAGCTTACTATATTAATTCTTCTCACAACACTTACTTGACTGGTAAATTCATGATTCTTTTAACACAATTACTAAATTTCAGTTTTCATTTACTGACTTATTTAGAATTTATTTTAATTTCTTTGCTTCTTTATGAATTATTAATAAAGACATTTTTTTAGAATAGGCAATCAGTTCATGCTTACTGTTTTCTACTTGAAATTTTAAAAAAATATAATTTTCTTATGGATTTTTTGTTATTCTATAGGTCACCAGTTGACTGGAAAATCCTCTGTTGAGATTTACCGCCAGGTCTTACTGACTGGTTGTCGTTGTTTGGAACTGGATTGCTGGGATGGAAAAGATGGTGAACCAATCATTACTCACGGTTTTACAATGTGTACTGAAGTTTTGTTCAAGGTAAACTAACAAAAATGCTTTGTTCCATTGAAATGTATGCATTTTTACAAAACTTTCATTAGGATTCAAAATATAACAGTGAGAAGAGACTGCAAAGAAAAATAATCTGCAAATATATAAATTCTATCATTTTATGTTGTATGAAGTTCAAACATATTTTATGGATTATTTAGAATAGCATAGTTATCTATGCTGTTTTGATCATATAACTGTAACAAAACATTAAAGATGAGAGTGATATACTAAAACAGTATCAAAACAGTTTAAGATGAAAGTATTGTATCGCCTGTTCTAATGACTTGCTTTTACTGTATAACCTAGAGCAAGGAAAACGTGGATTGACAGATAAAACAGACACGTGTAGAAACAACAATAGATTTATTTGGTTGCCATGTTACATTTCTCTTCCTTCCTCCGGGCAAACAACTGCACCCTTTTCCCAAAAGAGTCATTTCCCTTTTATCCCTAACAACTCCCCTTTTGAGTGTGATGGTAAGTTTTGCGTTGGAAGTTTACTTGTAGTCAATTTGCACCATAAGCAGGAATAACTTTTTATGATTCAAAAATATTAACCAGGAGTTTGTGGTTCATAATCAAGATAAATATTCCCCCAGGCAGACAACTGCACTTTTTTTCTTAGAGATTTATTTCCCTTCTGTCCCTAACAAAGTGAGAGACTAAAAAAAGTATCAGAACAGTATGAGAGAGATAGACTAAAGTAGGTACCTCTACTGAATTTTCGATACCTAAGCTTTAAAATTAAATTTTAAAAATGAAAAAGCATTCTTGAAGATTTCATTTTAGTTTTAATTGAAAGCTAAATGATTAAATTTATTATTTTTAGTAAGTAAAATATTCTGGTGTATTTCAGATAGAAATTATATAGATTGGAATGTCAAATAATTCTCGTTTTTTGTTTTTTAAAGCGGCCATTTTCTTAATTTTAAGAAATTTGTAAACAAACAAATTTATCTGTTTTAAAAATCTTTCAAAATTATAGATTTGTGACACGTTATTTGAGTAAAATTAGAAAATTTAAAGTTAAATTAATCTGATTTGAAATAAATATTACTTATAGCATAAAAAAAAACAATATATATGCATTTCTTAACAATGGGTTCCTCTTTCTTTGATCTTTATTGATTTATGGAGATGGTGATGACAGCTCTAAGAGCTGGATGAGTAGAAATGACATAAATTTGCAAAATCTAAGTGAACACATTTTTTTTTAGTTTTCAACTACTTACTAATTTTTACAAATTAACATATTTTCAGTAATTATTTAATATTTTATTGACTTTTAGTTAGGTTTACAAGAAGCTTTATGAAATTTGCATTTCATCTCTAGGTTCTTAAGTTTAAACAAAAAATTAACTGAAGTATAACGCAAACTAAAATAAATACATAAAATAAAAATATTTACTGAAATAGCAATTAAGAAAAGTAAAACTCTTTTTGATATTCTGAAGAGATGATTTACAAAGATGTTAATGATGAAGCAGAACTGAATTAAAAGTGAAATAATTGCAGTGCGTTAGACGACACTTAAATCACATTACCTTTTTAAGGATTATGTCATGTATAGATTCCCATAGGTAGAAATTAGGAACGTTTTTTTCACTAAAAATTATTTGAAAAATTTGTTTTTTAAATATTTGGCTACAAACGACTGTTATGAGCTTTTCAAATTTTGATTCATAAATGTACTTTTCACTTAACAATATCACCAAACCACCGTCTTGAAAGCAATAAAGAATTTTAAATGATTTTTGAACTATTATATTATCATAATTAAAATTTTTAAAATGAAAAATTCTTGTAAAAATTCATTATTCATTGAAATTTTTTTTTTCAGACAATAGTGTCCTTAATATAAGTTATTTACAAAAGCAATTAAAAGCTTTTTTAATTAAATAATGTCATAGTTTTATTGCATTTTTATTTTACAATTCAGAGCAGATTTTCAATTAAATGGGTAACTGTTTTACAAAAAAAGAAAAAAAATTGATTTACTTTCTCCAAAGAGTCCTGTTTTTAACTAATAAAAAATCTCCCCCTTTCATGAAATTAAGTGGGTAAAAAAAAAAAAAAAATATCTTTTACTAAGATTTTCATAAAATAAAAAAAATAATTTCATTCATTTCTGAATATATCCTGAAAGTTTCTTTAAAATCTGACAAGTATTTGAATTTTGCAAGAATTTCCAAATCAATGTGTTTTTCACCAGAAAAAAATGCAAAAAAACTAAACTTTATCTAACTTTATCCACTGTGCCATGTGTCTTTGAGGACATCTGTGTATGAATTTCTAGGTATTATAAACCTGATGTCTTCAGCAACGATTTTTTTACCAGTGCTCATATTGCAATTTTTTATTGTTATCATTGCATGTTTTTTTCAGAGCTCATATTGCAATTTTTGTTGTTATTATCACTTTTCTCTGGCACTCCTTATTACTGGTTCCCATATTGTATTCATTTAGATAAGAGTGATGGACTAAAACAATATTAGATGAGGGTGATAAACTAAAACAGAATAAGATGAGGGATAGACTAAAAGAGTAAAGGATGAGAGTGATAGACTAAAACAGTATCAAAACAGTAAAAGATGTGGGTGATATACTAAAATAGCATAAGTTAAGAGTGATGGACTAAAACAGTACAAGACGAGAGTGATGGACTAAAACAGTATGAATGATAGACTGAAACAGTATGAGTGATAAAATAAAACACTATCAGAACAGTAAATATGAGAGTGAGAGACTAAAACAGTATCAAAACATTAAAGATGAGAGTAATAGTCTAAACACAAGATGAGAGTGATGGACTAAAGGAGTACAAGACGAGAGTGATGGACTAAAGGAGTACAAGACGAGAGTGATGGACTAAAGGAGTACAAGACGAGAGTGATGGGACTAAAGGAGTACAAGACGAGAGATGATGGACTAAAGGAGTACAAGACGAGAGTGATGGACTAAAGGAGTACAAGACGAGAGTGATGGACTAAAGGAGTACAAGACGAGAGTGATGGACTAAAGGAGTACAAGACGAGAGTGATGGACTAAAGGAGTACAAGACAAGAGTGATGGACTAAAGGAGTACAAGACAAGAGGACAGTACAACATGGTGATATACTAAAACAGTACAACATGAGACTGATATACTAAAACCCTTCAACATGAGGGTAATATACTAAAACATTATCAAAATGGTAAAGATGAGTGATAGACTAAACACTATCAAAAGAGTAAAGATGAGAGTGATAGATTAAAACAGTATCAGATACTATGAGGGTGATATACTAAAACAGTATAACATGAAAGTGATAGACTAAAACATTATCAAATGAGAATGTTAGGCAAAAACAGTATAAAAACAGCAAGTATGTTGGTGATATGAAACAGGTTCAAAACGGCAAACATGAGTGTGATATAAAGATTGACTAAATCTTGCTAGCAATTTGTGTCTTAAATATTTAAAGCACAACACATGTAAATATAGTATCTGAGCTCTTATTCTCTTCATAGTATATATAAAAGGTAAAAAAAAATAATTTATTATTATTTTATTATATTACTACCTCTGTCTCATAATAGTTGTTACATTTAGTGTATGGAATGTGTATGTATGTGGAACAACTATTACTAGTCAGAAGCAGTATTATTTATTTGTATTATCATATATTCTTATTAAATATGTTCATTATAGATAAAAACAATTGTGAATCAAGATTTCAAAAGCATTTGGTATACATGTATCATTTGTGATTACTAAGACTAATACAAAATAATAGTTTAAAAAAACTAATTGCTAACAATACTTCCGAAAATTTCATGGTTTTTCTATTTTAATTTTCTGATGAATCATAATACTTAATGATTGAATAACTCCTTGCAAGACTATAAAATACCCATGGATATTTCCTTATTGTGTCATTACATACTTGAGCTTAAGAACTTTAACAAAATATTGCAATAACAGTCATAAATATAAATGTAGGTCATTATTTAAAGAAGTAAGAGGGTACAATGAAAACATTAAAAATTGACAAAGATTTTCCATTTCACTAAAGATGATGTTAAATACATCGGTGCATTATCCCTCAGTAATATGTCTTTTCAGTCTTGTGATCAAAAATCCATTATTTATTAGGTATTGTCAGGGTGTAACGTGTGTCCTCACTAACGGACAAAGAACAAGCAGAATTATAGTTATTGTATTGATGTATTTGTTAATATTTATATACAATCTTTGTAATAAAATATGGGGAAGATATATGCAAATCTATATACTAGACTTTTATGTACCATCTTCCTTCAGAATATGAGTGATCATGGCTTTCTACAACTTCCTATCCTTTGTAGCTCTTAACAATGTTTGCCTTTTTACTAACTCCCACACTTTCTGTTCTGCCATCCATTTATGCAAGCCCTTTAGATAGGTTACTTAATGTTCCCCTCTGCTCTTGCCTTTAATATGTCCTGTGAGTGTCAAATTTTCCAAACCCTCTTTACTCATTATGTGTCCCAGAAATTTCAGATATTTCTTTCTGATTTCTAAGCACACGTGTTCTTGTCAATTCCCATTTTCCTTTAAACTTCCTCATTGTTTACAGTTTCTATCCATGGCATTCTTAGCATTCTTCACATTTATAAATTAACTCAAGTCTCATTTTCATATATTAAACTACTAGTCAGTAATTGAATGACAAAATGAAAAAAAATTCTTATGCTACACATTTTGTCATTTGAAAAGACTTCTTCAGACTAATAATGGTTTTATTGGGGGAGCTCTAATATATATTAAGTGGGGAAAGAAATAAACAGAGGCCAGTTATAATTTGACATTGAGAAATGCTCAAAACAGAGATGTTTATCTTTAAATACAAAATATGTATATGCAAATTTTGTTTGTCTTGTAGCTATGAAACATCTGAAGTCTATCATATGTGGTTTATACTTTATTAAACAAATTTAGCCAACCATGACCATTCATTAAATAATTTTTCTTCCATTACTCTGCTTCTAAATAAAGAACATTTGTTAAATTGTATTTCTAATCAAATGTGTTTTGAAAAAAAAAAAAAAGTAAAAAGAACTCCAATTTACGAAGAAAAAAAAACAACTTTTACATAATGACAAAGTGAATTTTTTTTTTTTTTGTGATACATCTTTTAGGAATTCATTGAACTAAAGTGATGTTTCCATTGATGTAAGAATACATTTGCACAAAGTATCTGAAATTTTTCAACTTTTGAAGAAATTTCCCACTTTGTGATTAATGTTCCTAACATTGCTCTGGTATATTGAAATTTATATATCAACTTCTCCCATATATATATATATATATATGTGTGTGTGTGTGTGTGTGTGTGAGGAGAGGGAGATATAAACAAAAACGGCATATAATTATGCACCAAGGAGAAATGCTGAAGCTGTAAGGATGCTAAATTTTAATAACATAACATTACTTTAGTGTTATGAAGTCATTTTAAAAAATTTGTCATTCATTTATGCAACATTATTGTGATATATAGAATTTATATATTATATTCTCCCATATCTCTCTCTCTCTCTCTCTCTCTCTCTATATATATATATATATATATATATATATATTACACAACAGAGAAATCCAAAATTACCTCAGAGGTAACTGTATTCAGAAAATAAAACATCCCTATAGTTCTAGAAACATACTCACAACTCATACACCCAATTAAAAATCAAAAATAAAATCATCCTTGATAATGGCTAAAAGTATAGCTGAAAGCACTCAGGATTATAAAGCATTTGAACAGTTTCTACACATTTACAAAATAAAACACTTGTTTGAACACAAGAAAAATTAAATAAAAAGCTTAATCGCGGTACCTTGTCTGTCGTTTTTAATGAAACCTGTATAAATGAAGGATTGTTGCCTAAATACATAATATCTCTATCTATAAAAGGCAGGATGTGTGTGTGTGTGTAACGAATGCACAGCTGCAATTTTCGACGGATTTGCACCAAAATTTACATGCATATGCTCCAAGTTAGCGGGAAGGCCAAGACTGACTTTGCATTTCCCAACTCCCATCAATAGTAGAAATAATCGATTTTTTCATGCTTCTATGGCAGTTTTCATGTAGTTTGCGGCCATTTTGTACTGGCCAGAGTGAGAGCCAATAGCTGGCTGCCACGAATAGGCAGGAAGATTCTATTGGCTAGTGTGAGAGCCAACAGCTGACTGACACGAATGTTAACTAGCATGCTAGCATGCAAAAAAAATCGATAGCTGCATTCGTCACAAGTGGGAAAAATTTAAATCTGCATGGCACTTTACTCCAATTGACTCATTCGCTTGCTTACTCAACGTTGATTCTGATTCTGCAGAACTGGGTTGGGTGTGAAAAAGTATTTGTTGTTAACATTCTTTTTTCATTAGGTTTTTCCAGTTACGTGTCCTTTTTTAAAGCTGATCGTTTTGTGATCATTTTGTTTAGTTCTTTTTTCATGACAGATTTAATGTTTAGTTTAGAGCTTAGAAAAAATTTGCAGTGTGAGATAGGCAAGAAGTAAGGCTTGTAGCAACATCAGCACAGCAAAGGGCACTCCTTTAAAGGCAAGGAAGGGCAAAAATATTTTAAGTCAAGTGATAGCGATTGCTGTATGGGTTGTACGATTTTTGAATCAAGCACAGGCAATGCTGCTAGTATATATATATATATGTGTGTGTGTAAGATTTTTTTTTATATATATACATGAATCCAAGGGCTTTGTTATCTCCCAAAAACTGTTAATGCAATATTCACTCCCAAAAAGAAACGAATTATTCTTATAATCAAAAATGTTTTGGCTTTAAATAACCCACAAAGTGTTGATAAGTCATAAAGAACAAATCAACAAAAATCCTATATATACATACTTAGATCAAAAGTTAAATTAGATATAAGAAATTCTAAAGAAATAAGAATGAAAACAATTTTTTTATTCATGAACTTATAAAAATGTCTGAACAAGGGAATATAACATTGAGTAACTTTAATTATAAATTTTGAAAAAATGCATTTACCAGACATTATAAATTTTCTTTTTAGGTTATTTTATATCTCAGATTACTTCTTGTTTTAATTTTCTAAGGGAGATTCATTTAGCTATTGTAGCAATTATATCTGGGCAATGGGCAATTATATCCATTTACATTTTCTTGTCTTGTTAAGAAATTTGATAAATTTATAGATAAAGACAATTTTTATACTTATTTCTTAGATTGTTCACATATTTTTATAATCTTGTAAATATAAAATTATTCTTGTAAATAAACGTAAAATAATTTCATATTTTTGTTGTCAGTTCTCAGGGGGAAAAAAGAATGTGTAAATCTATTTCCATAGGTTTGATTAAAATTTGAAAAATAGCTTTTTAAAACAATAGAAATTACCAAGGGAGTATACAGCAAATGTGGTATCAAGAGAAATACCGTCATTTTGACAGAGTTTGTTTTTTTTTTTTTGCAGGTACATTTGTTAAAATTTACCAATATTTTAATAGCATTTTTTTCTGTGACCATGACAGAAAAAAATCATAAAGAATACAATTTTATTTCTTGTTTTGATTCTTTGAGATACCAAATTTTATACCTAATTTGTTTGTAGTAAATCCTAAAAAAATTTCTTGCATTTAATTTTAGGATGTAGTCTATGCTATTGCAGAGTGTGCTTTTAAAGTTTCTGAATACCCAGTAATCTTGTCTTTTGAAAACCATTGTTCGTAAGTATCAAATATTATTTTTCTTTTTAGGAAGCAAAAAAATCTTTAAAACTTATATATAGCATTAATGCAAATAAAATTTGTCACTTAGCCAGTTGATGTTATTATTCAGCACCTTGACTCCAGAGTTTCACACCACTCATCAGCAGGCAGGTTAGGTTTAAGTCTCCAAGTTCTCCATGCAAAATTGTCCGTGGATTAACCATTCAGCATTCAACTTCTCAAACCCACCCTGTAAATATCAGCTCTCAAAGTCTCACTATTTGAGGTCAATGTCATACTGTTTGTGTGACTTCCTACAATATTTGCAATGATGTTGTCATATATTATGGTAGAGCATACATGGGGTGAGTTACGCCAGGTTAAAAATTGAGTTGATATTTACAAGATGGGTTAAATGCCAAAAGGTTAAAGCATTGGTTTGTGATTTTGGTGATATAGTAATTGTAAGTTCAATCCCTGAGCCAGGCAGTATGTACTTCGACTCAGTGGAAACAGGTGAGCAGTACTAAAATAAAAACTATGGTCAGTGGAATGAGAACAATCCACCTCTATATTATATAAAAGGTTTAATTCAAAATCCCTATAGAGGAAAGCTACTTTCTGAAAAGAAGCCTTGTATTCACTAATACACTTTTAAAGAAGCACAAACTACACATGGGCATCACTGGATGGAAAAACAAAGAAATTGATTTTATTTTAACTAGGTACAATTTACCTCGTCAAATTGCTTTGACTGTTCAGCCCTAAATAAACCAGACATTTCCAACTATCGACTAGTAAGATGCAGCATCAAATTAAAATTTACATGACTGAAGAAACTTAAGAACTCTTGAAGATATTACCTAGAGAGACTAAAAGAGAATGTCATTTAAGATTTTTTCCAGTTAGAGCTTAGTAACCACTTTGTACTTCTTTATTGCACCCTTTAGCATTCAACTCGTCTCATAAATATCAGCTCTCAATGTTCAACTCACCATAACCCTGCCCATTGTGTACTCTGACATAATATATGACATCATCATCACAAATAGCACAGGATGTCATACAAGCAATGAGACATTGAGAGACGATATTTACAAGGCTGGTTTGAATGTGTTGAATGCTAAAGTGTTAAAGTAAGATTGATACACATAAACAACTCTGCAGAAAATCATGATCCATTAAAACAACCAGTTCATGCACACTGGAGGACAAATGAAACCAAAGTTGCCATTGAAAAAAAATTTAGGGTTAATGAGAAATAAATGAAAGGGGTGAGTAAACTTCTTTACACCATTATTAATTTTAACTAGTATTTATTTTCATGTTAATTTTTAAAATTATGTTGAATTTATCTACTGTTAGGACTTTGTTATTTGTGACAGACAGGTTTCAAGATGGAAATGTTCAAACTCACTTTTTAAACTTTTAATGGATATCCAAATCCAAATCCATAGCCTACTCACTCCTGTTGAAGGAACCTCTCCCTGATTGGTCATGTCTTCAAGAGTGTGACTGTACTCACCATGTTTGGCCAATTGCTGGTTGATGAGCCTATTTAACCAGTTAACCCAGTCTGTCCTACTATTTACCCCTAGCTTGGGGGAGAAGGAGTGAATTCATACCTTTCCCAACAAAATTTGCACATGTGAATGTAACAAACTCTACTTGTATTCTGATATAATGGAATAACCTGTCACCCCCTCCCCTATGAGTGACTACACTATAGGTGGTAACTACCTATAAATATCTGTAAGTCAATGGACTACAGAGTCTAACTGGGATCTGTTGAGTATGACTTACGTGAGAACTACTGACTTTCCAATAGTAGCACTCACTACTGGATTGACTTGTAACGACCTTGTGCATAACTGTTACCTTTATTCTTATTGTACTGGTTTTTAGAATAAACCTTTACTTATTTTATCCACCTTGGTTTTCAAGTATATATTCCTATTAGCACGGAATATAACAGATTGAAACTCAGCTCACCAATTCCTCAATCTGAGCTGTTATCCATTACATTACCATGCCTAGTGGATATAGTCAAATAAAAATTATCTTTTAATTAATGATGAGATTCAGTTTTCAAAATTATTTTCTTTCCAAAATTATAATTCAAATCAGTTGCTGGCTTTAATCTATTCATAAATGAAACATATTGTTAAGTCATTGAAAATACAAAACAACCATAAGGTTAGGAAGAACATGATTAAGAGTTGGGATACATACGGAAGCAAGAATTACATTTCTTAATGTTAGGTAATAAAGGGGCATGTATTAAACAATGATGTAATAAAGGGGCATGTATTAAACAATAATGTAACAAACGGGCATGTATTAAACAATGATGTAATAAAGGGGCATGTATTAAACAATAGTGTAATAAAGGGGCATGTATTAAACAATGATGTAACAAAGGGGCATGTATTAAACAATGATGTAATAAAGGGGCATGTATTAAACAATGATGTAATAAATGGGCATGTATTAAACAATGATGTAACAAAGGGGCATGCATTAAACAATGATGTAATAAAGGGGCATGTATTAAACAATGATGTAATAAAGGGGCATGTATTAAACAATAATGTAACAAAGGGGCATGTATTAAACAATAATGTAACAAAGCAAAATCCTTTTTTTTAACTTGTATTTTTCTCTTGTTTTTAGAGTTGCTCAACAAAAGTTACTTGCACAATATTGTTGTGAGGCTTTTGGAGAAATGCTACTTGACAAACCTATTGATGGCCACCCGGTAAGTCATTTTATGCTTTTTCAATGAAATAATTTTGCAAAATCATAATCTGGTACTACAAAATCACAAATAACAAATAAAGAACTATACCAAATAACAAAAACCACATCGCTCGAGGACTTTCAACAGCAGCAACAACTAAAATGTGTAACACATGTAACTTGAAGAGAAAATAATGACATATTCAAGATGTTGACATCCACTATAACTTTAAACAAAAGGTTAGGAAGGAAACACCTCATCAATACTAGAAAGAACAATAACAGAGCACTTGAGAAACCTATTCTCCTGAAAAATTGTTTTTATAGAAATATTTTATAAATTTCAACTGACAGTAGTAATAAATACCAACTGTCACCTTAAAAGGAAACAGCTAAATTTACCATTAGCAATTTTGCAAAGAAAATAAATTGTGATATAAATCTACAATTAATCTATGGATTTTGTATGTTAATTCTAAAATGAAAGAATTTAAACTTTGTTATAGACTGAGTTAAACAGAAGTCTTAAGTAAAATACAAGGGTTTTATTTACAAATTTGGGTACAGTTATTGAAAATGGAATTGTGGATATATAAGTGAACAGCTCTATTTTAGAGTCTGCCATATAATAATATTACAAGCTGAAACAAAGACAAATATTTATAACTAATGATAATAACATTCACATTATCAGAAAATATTTTACAACTGAAGATTTATGCATGTTATAGAAGAAACAAAATCTTTTACCATTTATAGCTTGTACCCGTGTATATGAATTTCAGGAATTTAATTTCTTAGAGAAGTGAAGCAAGCTCACAAGTTTAGCATTATGGATAAAATGTTTCAGGTCTTTTACTCATAGTTACTGGATTTTTTAAAAATTAATTCACTCCAAACAAGACGATAATACCATTAAGATGCAAGGGGCTACTGGGAGTGAAAACAAAGGATAAGCCCCTACTCCTGTTTAAAAGACCAGGGAGGAGTATGAACTTGACAATAGGCAGATCAACCCAAAATGTTCTGGTGTTTGGAAATATTTACTTTCAAGAGTTATGGGGCAGTGCTTTTTTTTTTTTTTTTGGAGAAGTAGAAACGAGAATTTCTCTACTTTTTTAATCAAATTTTTGACTCATTATGTTTCATTACACAAATGTGACTCTTGATAGAAAAATTGTAACTTCCTTGATTTATAATTATGAAAAACATAATTACTTCCTCTTTTGTTTCCATCTTCCAACTTGAAAGCATAAAGATTTAAGGCATGTCAAATTCAGTAATAAACTTGGAAAAAGTAAACAAAGAAATTTTGAATGCTCAAAAGAATTTGTGTTTTTGTTATATTTATATTTTTATTCTGAAAAACTGAACTGAAATATTAAATGAACCTGAATAAACATAAAATGTTATTGTAATAACAGAGAGCAAGCGTGGGCTTAAGGAAGCTTTATTCTGCTTAGAATAATTGATACCAGCATAGTGACTATTTATAGTCCACTACAAACAAGATTTCTCCAAAGGGAGGTAATCATAAAACAAGGGAGATTACTCTTGATTACTTTATCACATATGTAATAATTATGATACAAAGTAAAACCAATCCATAAAAGACATAAGAAGTTGATAAAGTATCTTTAAACAAAGATTTATCATCAAAGTTTTAAAAACTTTCCTTGATTAGAAACAAGTAAATTGTTAGCGAGAAATTGGATTAATTCACTATTTACAGTCTAATTATTGTCCTCATCTTTGTTGTTATTAAAGACATTTCAGCCATTGTGCCCTCCAGTCTTATTCAGGCATCTGTCAATCTGTGTAACCTTCAAGGAATTTCAAACCAAACCTTTTTTTTTTCATTTATGGATATAGATTTTTCTCATTCCGCATTTTTAGAGATATCTTGTCTTAATCTTTTTTGGTACTGCTTGATTTCCACTGAGTCTAAGTATTACCTGACCCAGAGATTGAACTCGCAATTACTGTCACCAGATTCATGAATCCACTAAACTATTAAATCAATAGATATGATATGTATTATAACTTCCTATTATAAGGTTATTGTTAGAACACACATTCATACTTGGTATAACATAATTTGTTAATTATTCTCTACATGTAATGCTTAGGTTATTTCTGTACACCTGTATAGTTAGTATGAAGACTGACTCCAATACAACTACTCACAACCTCATAATATGGAACTCTTTATAGTACTGGATGAGTTCATAAAGTCACTGTGGATGTAAACTTTACTTCACAACAATATGATTGTACTTACTATCTGTAGTTCATCATAGAGCGTCTAACTGTCCTTACAAATTCACTATACTGATAGATGTTTGTTCATGTTGAAACATTTTTAACTCACTTCTTTCAGTTCATTTAAATGCTTTTTGGAGGCTTCTAGAAACTGACTTTTGAAATTGATTTTGAATCCTTTCTTTGGCATTAATTGTTTTTGATTTTTCTTTTTTTTTAATTGACAAATTTGAATTATTATTTTTTAAATTTAAAATTTGGATCTTAGTGTCTCTCTTATTATGTCAGTATTTTAAAGCTTATTTGAGTATATAAGTCAAGTTGAATATGCTTCTGTCAATCTAGCTTAGGAGTTTTTTGACCCCTTTGAAAGAAAATGAGATAGGTATAATTCAGTATGATTACATTTACTGTTTAATCTTGTAGTCCTGACCATCCTTTCACATTTACTAAGCTGTAATATCTGTCCTTTCTGCTAAGAAAGTTAGTTCACTGTGTCATGCAAGATAATCTTACATATCTATAAGCCTACCATTCATCCATACTTAGAATATTGCTGCCACATATGGTTCAGTGCCCCTGCTATTTACCTTGAGCTCTTTGATAAAACCCAAAGAAAAATCAGCATAATTGCCTCTCTGTGTCTTTTCTATAAATACTTTCGTGGTAATTGTTCAGATGAGCTCTTTGCTATGGTACCTACACTTTTTGAATTTAAGCGTAGTACTAGACTGGTGTCAAGATTTCATCAATTTACAGTTGAACTGGCTAGACGTAAAAGTAAATTCTATGCTAACAGTTTCTTTTCTCACACTTCTCGCTTGTGGAACTTCCTTCCAGCTCCATGCTTTTCAGCCAACTTTAATCTGCAAAAATTTAAATGCAATGTCAATTACTATCTAACGTCCTTCTGATTATTCTTTCCTTTTCTCACTCATTATTAATGTTTCTGTTCCTAATTCTTCCACTCCCTGTAACCCTTTGTGTCTTAGTGGCTTTACTGCCTTACATGGGGTGATACTGATTTTAAAAAAAACAACAAAAACATTTTAACTTTGCTTCTTTTGATCTATTCAATTATTTTAGGAAATTAACATTTTAGAATTGATTTAGGTCCTTTCAATATTGTATAATTCTTCTGAACATATTTTAATTGGTTCATTCAAATGTATTTTTTTATATTCAAAATTTGGAGTTTGTTGTCTATCTTTTTTCACTACTATTTTAAAACATTTTTTGAGTATGTATGTCAAGTTGAGTGTGTTTCTGTCATTCTAATTTGAGTGTCCTTCATGGTTACATTGAACAGTCCTGCAACCCCCCCTTCTTCAGATACATGTTTGTTAAGAAGACCAAGATGTATTAAACAACATCTTCTTGTTGCACTAGTAAACAAAGATTTCTATTCAAAATTTCCTGAAGATTACCAAAAATGACATATTTGAGACAAAGGTCAGAATGTAGACCAACTGAAACATTTTAATAAAAACAACAAAGATAAGGATGCTCGTCAAAAATAAACATTAAATAGGCTCAAAACTTGTCTTCAAATTTAACAGACCAAGAAAAAAATTGAGCCTGCTTATTAAAATCTAGATATACATATATTCAAATATAATCAACATTAAATGGATTTATATATTTAATATAGATCTGTAAGTTGTTATCAGTTGATTTTACAAGGTGTTATTCAATAATTTTTTATTGGATTCTTTCTTCAGCTGAAGCCAGGTATTCCTTTACCAACTCCCTATGACCTGAGAAAGAAAATTCTCATCAAGAACAAGAAAATTCACAAAGGTAATTTTTTTTTTTTAAAATCAAAAAATCTGGAGTTTTTTTTTTATTTTATTTTATTTTATTTTAGTCAAAAAAACATGGAGTTAATTATTTCTATTTTCCTCTAGTACTTATATAAATATATAAGGTTTATAGGTGCATATTAGGGGATTCCAATATGTGCACTATAGCACTCCAGGGAGTTCATTGGATACTAAGGGTACTATGATCTGAAAAAGGTTTAGGGACTCTTATGTGTATATTAAGAAAGGCTAAAAATGCATAGTATGAAGTATAAGGAAAAATGCAAACAAGGAAGACAGTATTATTCTGAAAATTTTATAAAATGATTTCCAATGCTATAAGATGACAAGCAAATTCAAAATTTTTTTATTTTTATATTTTTTGGGGAAAACACCTAAACATACACTCTATTATCTAGGATGAATTAATGATTCACTTGTCAAAGATAACAACTGAATCATTTGTCTTGAATGCATTGAAGATTTCATTGTTATGATTGCTTTAATGTAGGTACTTCCAGTCAGTTTCTATACCTAAGGTTTAAAATGAATTTTTAAACATGGAAAAGCATTCTTTAAGCTTTCATTTTAGCTTGAATTGTGTAGTGAACGAGATAATCAAGTACCCCGGAAAAAAGTTCGTGTTTTGTGTGCGATCTGCCAAAGAAGGATTACCAAAAAGTAGTCAGTAAAACTCTTATAGCGACTTATCTCGTCAACCCAAGCGACAGCGCGTCGCGTGTATTCTGTGACGGAAAAAGAAACAAGTCCATCACAGGAGTCCCTATAAGAGCATATTGATATGCAAATTACGGAGCATACTATCCCAGCTGTCGACGAATGGAAAAAATAGGTTCTGCCGATAAAAGCAGTTGGTGTTTTCGACTCGGGGAAGGAAAAATTCAAGCATTTTTGGCTATGGCGTTTGTGAGTTATTTTCCTGACGTGTTACAAGTGATTTTCTTTCACAAGCCACAAAGCCACAAATTTGCTTTGAGAACGCTTACTGTTCAAATTGAAAGCTAAATGATTAAATTTACTATTTCCAGTAAGCAAAATACTCTGGTGTATTTCAAATAGAAATTATATTAATTGGAATCTCAACATTTTGGTTGCTTTCAGAAAATTAATAAAAATCAATAAATATCAGCCATTTTTGACACATTCGTCAAGAAAAGTTAATTTTGGTTTTAAAAATCTTCTAAAAATAAAATATACTTTTCTGAAACTTTATTTGAGTAATATCAGCTGATTTAAAGAATGATTAATCTGATTTGAAAAAAATATATACTTTAAGTTTAAAATAACAGAGAAATGAATTTTTAAAACAAACAGTAGCAGTGATTATGCACTTGGCCTCGCTGCTTGTCACTCATAAATCATTTAACAGGCATTGATAAGGTACTGACAGATTTATTGTCCTACAAGACTTTCTGTTAAAACATAATTTAAGAAAGTGAGTGAGTGCCTTTTGTATATAATTTTTAAGTACTCAGTAATCTTCTATATAATAAATACGAAAATCTCTGTGTGTCACACACTTTCAATTAAAGGGACAAAATTCTTCTAACATTTAATTATCTCCTCTTTAACATTACTTGATTTTTTCGGCAATTTTTTTTTTAACATGTTTTTTTTGCAACAAATTTGTTTTACAATAACAATTTTTATAATCCTGCAAAACTTTCCCATAAAATAAAAATAATTGTTTGTACAGAAAGTAAGATCCTACATACATCAAACTGTATTTAAATAAAGCGGCAACAGAAGAATTATCATTGAATTAAAAGGTAATCTTATATATTAATGCAATACTTAAATGCAGAGATCAATTTAGAGTTCTGTAGTTTATTGTTGCCTATTGCATACAGCAGCTGCCTCACAAAAAGAAATCTCTGCCAACAGAGGACCAGATTGCAATCAAAAGAGCCAAGGCTGCAGTGGGGAAAAGAAAGTACTGTGAAAATGAAAACCCAGATCTTTTTATTCTGTCATTAGCTTCTATTGATAAAAACAATTAAAGGGATACAATAGTTCATGTTACAGTAATTTTGGATTCCCAATTTTTCATTATTGCAATTGTTTTTGGCAATTTTTTTACGTGAATTTTTGCAATGAACTTTTTTGAATGATAACAAATTTTATAACTTGGAAATAAATTTGGGGGTAATGAAAATTAATTACAAAATCCAGCAAAAATCACCCATGAAATAAAAACAATTGTTTGTATGGAAAGTAAGAACCTACTTACATCAAACTGTCTTTAAATTAAATGGCAGCAGAAGAAATATTGCTGAACTCTTAAAATGTAAGCTTAAATATTATTATAACACTTAAATACAGTGATCAATTTTGAGTTCTTCTGTAGTTTATTGTTGCCTATCGCTTATGGTAGCAGTATGCCTTGCAAAATGAAACCTCCACTAATAGAGGACCAGATTGAAATCAAAAGAGCCAGAACAAAAAAATGAAAACCCAGAAAAAACAACAGGCAGGAGAGCTTCCAATGCTGAGAATATGAAAAGACTTAGGGACTCTCAAACTCCAGACCAATTTGCATCCAGGAGTGTATCAAATGCTCTTACCAAGATGAGAGAAAGAGCATTAGAAACCCATGAACAAGTTGAATCTTGGAGAGTTTCCAATGTAGCCAGCATGAGAAGAGAAAAGGCTTCAGAATCCCTAGAGCAATCAGAAACCAGGAGAGCTTCCAATGTTGTACAGCAAAGAAAATCAAAACAGAATGCAGTCCAACTTGAGAAACTTGCTTTTCAATATGAAGTCAATTAAGACTACTCCTCCCTACCTATTGTGATTGTTGGAGAGCTAAACAAAGAATGCAACTATTGTGGAGCATTGAAGTTCAAGGATGAATCCCAAAGTATCTGTTGCTCCAATGGAAAGATCAAACTCTAGGACTTTCTAGAACCATTCAAGTCATTGTTGGCTGGATCCACCCATGAGTCCCAGGATTTCCTGAAGAAGATTAGAGCTTGCAACAATGCATTTGTAATGACTTTCTTTGGAGCAAATGATGCAACTCTGCCTGGATGGCAGATCACATTCAGAATCCAAGGACAAGTACACCATCGGATTGGCAGGTGACCTTGAAGCAGGAAGATTTATTGCTTTCCTGTTACAGCTTGGCAATGGAACCATCAAAATGAAACAAAATGGCTATATTTCAATCTAAAATGGTTGTGGAGTTTCAGTCTTAAGTTGTGACGATAAATATTCGCACTTACCGGAGTCGAAGCGTCCAAGATGTTTTGCTTGTCGGGATACTGTTTTATGATGGATATGTGCATAACTCCAAGCTAGACAGTTTGTCATTTCGTCAACTGCATCCATTCCTCTCACAAGTGTGGTCCGAGAAAAGTACATTCTCCGACATTTGTTGATTTTATGCTGCTTGGCACAATTTGTCTGGTGGCATGCTGATTGGTTGAGCTGGGGACTTCGATCGAAAATGAGGCCAATGGCAATGATTCGTGCGTTGGCCGTGTTTTTGGTCAATAAAAACGGTCTGGGACATTGGCCGGCAGTGCAACCGGGACCATGGTGACGTGCACTGCTATAGAGGTTCATATTAAGTTATAACTATTTTTGTCTGGGAGCTGGACGCTAGCTTCAAACCTACTGCTAGTGTGAGCAGTGTAATTACCGGTGTCAACCGAAACGTGGGAAGAACACCCTGAACTGCTACACAAGTATTCAAGACTTGATTAACCATGTTTATCCAAACATTAAGCACCATTTCATGGATTCAAACTGGCTTTGTGAGAGGGCCATATTAGCTCCCAAGAATCAAACTGTATTAGCATCAACTGGAAACATCTCAAGTTTTTTTGTACCAAAAGAAAGCATGAAGTACTTTTCCATTGACACTGTGGTTGAACAAGAGCAGGCAATGAATTAACAAATAGAGTTCCTGAACTCATTGAATCCAACTGGAATGCCATCACACAAGCTGGAACTAAAAGAAAATGTCCCAGTTATGCTGTTGAGAAATCTGTATCCTCCAAAGTTTTGTAATGAAACAAGATTAATTGTCAAGAAGATGCTTCTTTATCTGTTGGAAGCAGAGATCCTTACTGGTCCAAGAAAGGAGGAAATAGTTTTAATTCTAAGAATCCCCTTAATTCCACCAAATCTTCTTTCTGAGTTCAAAAGAGTTCAGTTTCCAGTGAGAGTGAGCTATGCAATGTCAATCATTAAGTCCCAAGGACAATCATTTGAAAATAACTGGTCTTCATCTGATGGAACACTACTTTTCTCATGGCCAGCTCTATGTTGGTTGTTCAAGGGTTGGGAATGGAAACAAGCTGTTTGTACTGACCCTGAATGGGAAAACCGAAAAATTTTGTTTATCATGCAGCTTTCCAATAAGTTCCAAAAAAGGCAAATTATGTCATCATTTTGATGAAAACTTAATTGTTTGAAAAATATTGTTCAAGCTTAATAAAATTTATTACATACTCAATGCATGAGAGGATGGCTTTTAAGCTCATCTTAAAAATGTTGGCAAACATTCTCTGTAATCTAATTTTAGGAATGTTGAATTTAAATTTACTATAGTTATCACTCTTATTTTCTGATTATGTCATGTATGGTTGACCATACTTTCAAACAGGGGAAACTTACGTAATATTTTATATACATAAAAAAAAAATTGAAAATTTTTTAAAAATATTGGGGATAAACAATTTTTATTGAACTTTCCAATTTTGATTCGTAAATATAGTTTTCACTTAATAACAATATCACATAACCAGATTGAAGTAATGCAGAATTTTATTAAATGATTTATAATATTATAAAAATTCTTGTAAAATTCATCAAAAAAAAATTTTTTTTTCTTAAGACAATAGTGTCCTTAAATCTCCTTTATAAAAGCAGTTAAGAGCTTTTCTAATTAAATGATGTCATAGTTTTATTGCATTTTTTATTTTATGATTCAAAGCAGATTTTCAGTAACTGGGGGTCCTGTTTTACAAA